TAATCATCATCCTATTAATTTCTTTGTGGCGGACATCCAACAAGATGGAATTCTGGGCATGGACATGTTGCTGAAAACTGGAAGTACGATCAACTGCAATAATTGCCAAGTGAACATGAATGGTGAGCTCATTTCATGCACGGACTCGGAAGGTAGAAGTTTGTTAACTAGACACATCGATGCGGTTACGGACATGGAGAACTTACCAAACTATCTGCATAACCTGCTCGAGAGATCCAAAACGAGTTTAACTGAGGTTGACTATCCAAAAGTAGTGGAGTTGCTCTCTGAGTATCATGATGTTTTCTCAAGTGGAGACGACGACATCGGCCGGACAGATAGGGTCGCTCACTCCATCCATACTTCATGTCCAGCACCAATAAGGCAGAGACCAAGAAGACCACCTATGGGACAAAAGGAAGAAATTGATAAACAAATCAATGACATGTTGAAAAGGGGCGTAATTCGTCCTTCATGCAGCCCTTGGTCTTCCCCAGTTGTGTTGGCTAACAAGAAAGATGGTACAAAGAGATTTTGTATAGACTACAGACTTCTAAACCAGCATACAGTAAGGGACTCGTTCCCTCTTCCCCGCATTGATGAATCAATTGATGCCTTGGATGGTTCTAGATATTTCTGCACATTGGATTTATCTTAAGATGTAAAGAGATATTTTGGGAATGAAGAATAATTGGTTACGGTATATTGTTGTTATTGTGTAAAGATTCTGTAAATAATGATAAAAAATGTATTTCAGCTACTGGTTGCTGGGTCAGCAACTTAGAAAGAGGGGGATAGTGTGACGAATATATGAAAATGATCTTTCTCTTTCTTACTCTTTCTCTTTATATATTCAATACTTGTAAATATTGTGAACATTATAAATATAAAATGTCTTTTATAGTCGTTACTTATTTTGTGACATGTTTTTAACGGATTTGCTCTGAACGAGCGACTAGTCTACAAGTAGCATGTGCTCTTGTTGATAAACAATGCTTAATTTATTCCACTATTGATCGATAACTTAATATTCATGTATTATTCATTAGTTTAAGGCGCGATCCAAGGTGCGCAGCCAATTAAATGATTGTATATGCGCGTACGGCTTTCTTTTTCATGCGCGACCCAACCAGTATAAATAGTCCGCGCGTGGGTTACTGGGTTACCCAGGTACGTGACTGACAGCTTTTTACAGGCTAGTACGCGACTACAGTTTTATTTGCAGGGTGTTACGCGAAAGGTGAATATAAATAGTGACTCATACAATGTTTACTTATGCAAATTTACTAGGATTGTTCCAAAATATGGAGTGAAAGGGATATTTTATTGTTCTATGGATCAATGCGGTCAGAGTGGTGTATATGAAGAGAGGTTTTGAAGTATTTTTGATGGTGATATATTAAGTTGGAAATAGGCATCTATATTTGTAATAGTTTGGATGGGGGGAAGCAAGACGGAATGTCCAGTACCGGTAGTGAATGGACGAAACGTCCTTGAACTTGTCTAGGACGGTCGGTGCGTCCTATTTTTAGAGGGACGGAACGTCCCATTATCGTTTTAGGGACACAGTGTCTCCCTTAAGTGTATGAATATTGGCATGGGATTATAGTTTAATTATTATAGAGATATCATTATCATTATACAAATACATGAAAGATGTTTTTCTTATGTGAAATGTCTATTTTTGTGTGATTATCTTCTTCTTTGTGAAGATAATATTGCCATTGTTAAGGAATAAATCTAGAAATGGTCAACCTATTTTTGGAAGAGAGAGATTTTGCTCTTTGGTGTCCTAATTGATTAATTTGGACACATAAAATTGAGTGTGATTCAGGTCGTTGGGCAGACTGACAATCTGTCCCAAATGCGGTCATATCTCAAGTCTAGCCATTTCTAGTTTAATTTCTATGGCCAGTTTAACTATGTTTGATAAGAAATATTACATTGTATTGTTGTCTTGATTTTCTCCTAGACTATGAATATTTGGAAAGGAAGGCTTCGGTCCTTCGTGACCTAATAAGGCCAGAAAGTCACCAGTGCCTCCGTAGTTTAATTCATATATTTAATATTGTATAACGCTTAAACTTATAACACATGTATTCGCCTATCTAGAGGGCGTGATACTCCGTAGATCGTATAATGATGTTTTAATGAACTTGATATTGTATATAGATATTGTATAGAAAGTGTATAAAGGATCGAGAGAGTTGGAGAAACAACTTTGTCGTATATCTATAGTTTATTATCTACATTTATTTAATGCATATATAACAGTTTATTACAGACATGAGTGTAACTCCCCCCCCCCCCCCCCCCCCCCCCCCCCCCTTTCTCCTTCTTCGTCCTGTCTTGGAAGGGACAGTGTGTCCTTCAACCTGGAATGGACACAGAACGTTATATGTATAGACAATGCATGGGCTTGTCTTGGAGGACACAGTGTCCTTAGATTTGGACATGGACACAGTGTCTCTTTTCTTCCCCCCCCCCCTTTCTTACTCGTTTGAATTGCACTCATTATTGTATATAGCATGACATGTATATTAATAGAATGACATTGAATAGTGGACAGTTGAATATGTACACTCGTAGTTAATTAATTAAATACATGTAGCTGCATTTACGAGCCTATCTAAATCAGGCAATTATTACTTTACTACATAATTAAGAGGTGCGAACTTAAGACAGTAAGGGACGAATTCAATGGAATGCCGGTTATCTTTGAATTTAGAAAGTCAAATCTTATACAAGTATATTCTGGAGTAAGTTATAACTAGGAGATAAATACTCGAGGCTAGTTTATAACGGTGATGATGGATTTATATAGGTACAATGTTTAACCGACACAGTGTGTTAGCTTGTTACTTAATAAAGGAGTGGAAAGACTTTTGAAATCCTGGTCGGAAGGGTGTATTGGTTTAAATGTTTCATTCTTGTAGAATGGGGACGATAGGGACACATTGGCCAAAGGTGTCGGGCGCAGGTAGATAGTTGTTTCAAGGGGTAGGAGTACCGAGAATACTAGTAGTCGGTCAGAATAGAGTTACTTGTAATAGGAGTTAGAAAGAAATGCTAACTTTGGTTTGATAGCCATGGTGGTTTTTAAAGTTCGTTAGAAAAGCCTCTATCTAAGTTCAGTAAGTTTATACATGTACATTATTTAAATCGTATGCAGTCTATACTAGTCAATTAAGTGTTGACATCCTGTAAATATGAAGCTAAGAAATACTGTATAAATTATATAAGCAGTAAACATTTATTACAATAATTAATTAATGTATATCTAGTAGCAATCAGTAAGTTAGTAAGTTCATGGAAGTATTTCTATTCTTGTTGAGAGTTTTACAGTTCTTATGTTGTTGAACAGTTGCCTAGAAATGGCTTAGTGAATAATAAATTCATTATTCGACTTTAGATCGATTTCAAGTTACAAATCTTGTTAGTCTGGTTTGCCTAGTATTAAGTATGCATTGTTGATGATACCGTACAAAATATATAGTAGATTTAGAATTTACTGTAGGATTTATTACTAAACAGGAACACAAAACTTCGTCTGTATACTTCAGACAAACGGACTCAGGTCATCGTGCCTTATATATCGCTCGGAAGTGTGAAAGGGAATAAGATACTATTTTTGTTATTTAGTGAGTGACTGAGTGGAAGACTTGATACACAGAAATGAATGTATGGGACATGATTATGGTCTAAATGGTGTTGTGAGGCTTGTTAGAGAGACAAAAACATGATTAGTTCCTACTTAATGATACTTAATTACGGTATCAGGGGTGAGAATAACACTCACCTATAAAAGGATGGAAGATATTGTGAAGTGGTTTGAGACTCTAGAAGCTAACTTTGAGTGGAAATGGCCAAATCAATACAGGATTTTCCCAGAGTGAGACAGTGCGTCTTACACGTGACGAGAGACAGATTGGGAAAGGACGAGACAGTGCGTCCCAAAAGGAAGCAATTGCCATACGTCACAATGACTTTAAGCGTATACTAGTAGAAGGACGCATGGTCCGGTTTCTTAGGAATCTGTGTATGTAAGTGAGAGTGTATCAGATTACAGAGTGAATGTAAACACACAAACCGTGTTGTTTTGGAGATCCTAGCGCTCCAGATTAAGACTAGGTGGTGGCAGCAACCGTCAGAATTAAGGGTATAAGAGACTGACATAAAAGTGGTTATTGATGTAGTCTTCTTTCCAGACCTGTTTTACTTGTATTCCCTATATTGATAGAATTCGCTATAATGGTAGCAGGAGAAAGTTTATGTAGCGTTGGGGATGATTTGGGGACAATGGTGGATTACTATTAACCACCCCCCTCGATTCCCCGATTCCCTAGAACCGTCACAATGGTGGCATTTCTATCAACCCCCCCCCCCCCTTTCTTCCCTGATGACTCACACGCCAGAACCGTCACAATGGTGGCAGCGGTGGGATTTCTATCAAACCACCCCCCCCTTTCTCCCTTTCACGAAACCGTCACAATGGTGGCAGCGGTGGGATTTCTATCAAACCACCCCCCCCCCTTCTTCCCTGCCGATCACGCAAAACCGCCACAATGGTGGCAGCAGTGGGATTTGTAATTCAACCTCCACCCACCCCCCCCCCCCCCTTTCTCCCTGATTTCACGCCAGAACCGTCACACTATTTTTGGTAAACATTACTGGAGCCCTTTTGAGTGCTTTCGAGAGGTAAATTTCTCATTGCAACCGAACATGTGTTTCTCTGTTCATTTGTGAATTAATTTCTATTTGCAAATTTGAAAATTATGACAAACAAAATGGCTACTTAATTTGTCATGTTTGCAACAATGGAACACAGAACACATGCAGATGTTGTTCTGAGAGATCCAAAAATAAGCTATGGCCATGCACATCAATGTCAGCAAATGACCTATATAAACAATGGCACTCAATTGATGTAATCTACATATTGATTTTTAGAAACAGACAATTTGCAAGAAAGAAGGAACTTGCCCCCTTTACATGCTTACCTTCCAAGTATGTGGGTGAATTCTTTTGCCTTCTTGATCTCATCACCCTCTCTATCCATCATCAACAAACAATGGAAATTACCATCACCAACATGGCCAACTATGGTATCTGAAATAAAAAAAAATAAAAGGAAATAGTGGTCACATGCTGGGATATGAAATAATTTGTGGCTGATTGCAGATTGTCATCATATAGTAACAAAGATAAAATTACATTAGGTGTTCCAAATAAATTTCTTTTGTAAAGCCAAGCAATTTTGAATCCTAGTTTCTTATCCATATGTTTAAAAAATGAGGAGGATCTATTAAGGCAATCCACGGTTATGTGATATATTGTATACACATACACACAGATTGAATCCTCCACGCAAGATGCAGAGGCTCAAAACAAGTTGAAATTGCAACAGTTAATAATAATAATAATAATAATAATAATAATACATGAGATTTATATAGCACCATTATCCATTTTAATTAAATGCTCAAGGCGCTTCAAAATATTAGGGAACACATTACATCATGACAAAGAATCGTGTACATTTACATAAGAAAGAAAAAGCAAAAATGAAAGAATGAATGTCTATCTTCAAAACGCAAAATTAAACAAATGTGATTTAAGGTTGCTCTTAAAAGATGTTGAAGAGTCAGAGTTCTTCAACTACTGTGGAAGTGAATTCCACAGGGCTGGTCCGGCATGAGCAAAAGCTTGTTCCCCCCAAATACTTCTCTTACTTTGTTGTCTTAATGTACAGCAAACAGCATACGCATTTGTTCCTAAAGAAGTCCTTTTAAGTCAACAGGCAAGAATTCAAACTAAATACTTTGACTTCTTTCTTGGTCATGTGTAATTATTTTTAAAAGAGAGAAACAAATGAGGTTAAACCTTGAGACTACAACACCATTACGGTGTAAAGAACAAATAGTACCCACACATGAAACCCATCCTCTGGAGGTCGTCAATGGTTTCCAGTATGACCCGAGGCATCTGAGAGATTGGCACACATACATCTGTGGATAAGCCCTAGATGAGAATATACAGAGATTCCATTCACACATTCATGTGCATCGCTAGAAAAATATCAGTTGGTAAATTTGAAAATGTAATAACGATTACAGCCCAAACAAAGAACTTAAATTGCTAACTTGCCTTCATCTTTCTAAAACACAGAACAATTGCTTCTGTAAGCCGTTTAAAAAACTATTAAAAAAATAAATAAAAAAAAAAATCTTTGTGTTTGGCATAATTTCTAGCCTTTTTTGCTGCCCATAGTAAACTGGTGGTTCAGACTGAAAACCAGAAACTATCGGGGCATGAAACTTTGGTGAATAGTCAATGATAGCCGTACTAGAAGCAATTTCTAGGCATCAAACTGTTGTGAATTTTCACCATTCGCAAACATTTCATGCTCTTGAAGATTTTTGGTTATACAGTAAATAGTATAGCTTCTAGTACCTTGCACCCTGGCCGCACGGCGAGACTGGCGTACCAGATATCATGTCTCGCCTTCCATAACTTGTTTCTATCTTCCATCTTGTCGGCCCATTCAAAGTTGGAACCTCCATTCATTGCTACAATGTCACCTGCAAGGAGGAATGCAATCTTTGATTAGAGTGTGCTTAGAGCCATAAGGGTGTTAACTCCATTAGAACAGAGCTATTTTTGTTCTAGCTCTCAGCAGGAGATATATTGAATGATAAGTATTGCATTAATATACATCAATTATCATCAATTCATTCTAAAACAAAGCCCCCCCCCCCCCCCAAAAAAAAAAAAAAAAAAAAAAAAAAAAAAATCAGCAAGTTCATTTTAATTAGCAAGGCAGAACAAAATAATACAGAGTGTATTGAGAAAGTTAATAATTTTTGAAGTTGCGATCAATCAAACACAAATTGGCAATACTGTGACGTATCTCTCCAATTTGCTCTGTACATAAAATGTCATAAACTTTCATTTTCTTTGTTATTGATGACTGTATAGCTTTTTTTCGCTTCTACTAAATCCAACTAAATATCAGGGTGGATTTCCCCTTTAAAATATACAATGAATCTACTTACCAACTGTTTCTATCTGTGATTTGATGCTTGCCTCTGAGCCATGAAACTCCAGGAAGAGAGTAGGAGCCACCTTGTTATTCAGGTTACTATATTTATTTGTTGCATCCACAGCTTTTTCATCCAGAAACTCTGAAAAAACCCAAAAGGAATAGAAAATTAGTAGTAGTAGTGGTGGTTATTTTACCTGACTGCTAAGAAAGCATAAATGCTCATTAGTTAAAGCAGCCAGAGGACCAACGGCTTTAGGTCCTCTCTGAGAGACCTGGTAATGAGGATTAATGCCTTACCAAAGGGCACTAGTGCATCGCCTTGGTTTCGAACCCAGGTCGCCGGCTTACGAGACCACTGCTCTACCAACTGAGCTAACGCACCTTCATAATGGTACCATAATGGTATCCTAGCTACCTCTATCTGTCCTACCTATCCTTATCTCAATCAAGAGGCATGGCAATTACATTCTTGTTCTAAACAAATTGTGCACTTTTGCAGTCTGATTCCACTACACGTCATAAAAATTCTCAGCCCATGCAGTTGGTTCTCAGCTAGCTACAGCTAGGACACAATGTGAGCATCATGAGCGCAACCCGGTTCTGGGAAGTTGTTTGTGTTATACAAGAGACATATCATTATGACCACTAATACCCAATTTCAACCATAATTATACTAATTAAGCCTTTATATATCTTTGTAGAAGAAACAAGGTTTCCGAGGAATAAAGAAATGTTTTTCGGATCAGCGATTACATACCTATCCTTGCAATAGGGATTCCACACTGTAGCACTTGTGTTACTGACTCTACTGCTGCATTAACTGTTTCAAAGGAACACACAGCTGACATCATCTATAAAAACACAAACATAAAATGTCATGTGTGCTCTTCACTTGCAATCTAAGATTTGTATGTAAAATGTTGTGTTAAAACAATGTCTTTCAGACAATGGAAGTATGTGCTTGTATGTTTCTCTCTTATCCAAGTTGTATTGATAAGCTGAAAACTAGGTAGGAATTCATCAGCGTTTAGAGTCCATTTGTCCCACTTTGTGGGGTTGGACATTTCATTTCCTTAATGGCCACATTCCAAGCTTTCCTATCTGTGGGATCCACACGACTGACACCCGATGTTTTGGCATCCTCTTCGATGGCTTCCCTCCAAGTTTTCCTGGGTCTCCCGCGAGGTCTTCTTCCGGTGACCGGAAAGTTTAGAGCCCTCTGGAGCCAGTGTGTTGCCTCTCTTCTTGCCTCATGTCCAAACCATCTAACCATCAAACCATCAAATTGTTTAACCATATTTGCTATAGTCTGGTTTGCAGTTACAACAGAGTTAATTATATCTGCTGTATTCTATGTGTGCTATATACAGTGAAAAATTATGCTTATAGATTATACGGGTCTTCCTGAAAACAAGTTTTGCTTTTTCAATATTTTCCTCCTACTCTGCAGTGATGAATTTACTCTATACATTATAACAGGCTCCATAAACATAGTATTGTATTTTTGGAAGGAAACTAATTCCAATTTCAATTCTCATCAGATGAGTTTTGTATTCGTGATTAGAGTCCACTATGAATGATTGGCTACACTGCAGCACCAGGAAAAAAGCACATGCAATCTTAATCATGAGTATAATAATATTAGGTTTCATTTCTGGACAAGATATGCTTTGTTTGATACATACTTGATGCTAGCATCAGAATTTGTCATGAATCATTTTTTCTGGGATTACATAAGAGTATTATACCTACCATTTCAGGCATCCCGTATATCCTGAGCGTTGCCTTGGTGATGATACCCAACGTCCCTTCTGATCCCACAAAAAGACTTGTCAAGTTGTAGCCTGCAGAGTTTTTCCTGTTTGTCATAGAAAACAAAATCATAAAAAATAAACTGCAAATTGTAATACGTTCTGTTTAATGTACGTCCGCGTAGTAAAAATTGATGGCAATACGTGGACACTTGGCACTTGTACAACCAAAGGTCAAACTGCAACTACTGCACAATGAATTTTGTGCATTGTTGCAGGGTCAAAGATTTGAAAACATGCAACAAATTAAGCTGGCTTGTGCTAATTATCTCAATATAACTCTCAAACATTTCAGTGTCCCTGTCATCTATGCAAATATAGGCTTATTCAGTAATAAGTTTGACTGCACATTGTAGCTTAAATAAAACCCTTTGTAATGCTTGCTAAAATCTTACAACATAATGAAACAAAATTCCTAAAAGAAAATGTCTCAACTGAGGTCTGCTGCCCCTCACAGTGTGCAGAAAGGACCCATCAGAAGGCACAACCTCCAAGTTGATGACATTCAATCAATCAATCAATCAATCAATCAACCAACCAACCAACCAACCAACCAACCAACCAACCATTTTATCCGTCTTATTAAATCAAATCAAATCAATAATGATTCCTTACTACCTTGGTCTACTGCCCTCTCCTGCAGTGTGCAGAATAGACCCATCAGGAAGCAAAACCTCCAAATTGATGACATTCAATCAATCAATCAATCATTGCCCAATCAATCCTATCAAATCCTATCAAATCAAATCAAATCAAATCAAATCTAATCAATCAATCATGATTCCTAACTACCTTGGTCTACTGCCCTCTCCTGCAGTGTGCAGAATGGACCCGTCAGGAAGCACGACCTCCAAGTTGATGACATTCTCCTTCATGGTACCGTACTGCACAGCATTGGTCCCAGATGCACCCGTCGCTGCCATGCCACCAAGAGACGCATCAGCTCCAGGGTCTAGAACAAGGATGATATCCAGTTCAGAGAACTGTGTTAGTATGGGACAAGTGATATACTAGAGAGAGGCAACTGCACAAAACTGTCATAAACAGCCTATCAAAACCACTGTTGTATAAGAAAACTATCATTAGGATGAAAATGAAGATTAAAAATATGAACCCCTAGCTGCTTTATAGCCAATAATCCATTCAAACGAAAGAGTTAATAACAAATTGGTAAGATCAAAGGATCATTAAAATGAAGACATCCTAAATATGATTCTTAGTGTCTAGCTAGTTAAAGTATAATTTGCAGTATTATATTTATCCTTGTTTAGAGATTAAAAAAAAGATAACGCAGGAATATCAATCCAATAACTCAAATTCATCTAAGCATTAAGTAAAGCCTTGGTCACAAATGCCATTACGAACTGCTACGAACGCTGTACGAATGATTTTCAGACAATGGAAATTCGGGAAGACTATTGAAAAACGGAGATTCGTACGAAATAATCGTTCGTACGAACCTTGTGACGTAGCATAATTAAGGAGTAAATTTACCTCTCCAAACAGCATGTATAATCCTCCAAGGAACTTTCCCCTATGACCTTACCGATTGGAAACCACATTCCATGGTCTTTGAGATGATGATTAAGGGCTAGTCTGGTCACTCCAGGCTGGACGGTCACATCAAAGTCTTCTGTGTGAAGGTCTAAGACCTCATCCATCTTGGTTAGATTTATACAAACTGATCCCTGATAGGGATAACGAGAAAGGGGGTCGGAGAGGGAGAAAGAGGAATGGAAAAGGAAGAGGAAGAGAGAGAGAGAGAGAGAGAGAGAGGAGAGAGATAGAGAGAGGAGAGAGAGATAGAGAGAGTCAAAATGACAGATGACAAATGAAATGAATTTTTAAAATTAACAAAAAAATAATCTTTTAGCCTGCTGCATAAGTAGTTTCCTAGAGCTTTGAGTATTTTACTTTCTCCTATTCTCCGATAAAAAAGTTCGACCCTGGCTTGTGATCAAGTCACAGTGCACTTACATCTCAAATTTGTCAAAGGCATGAATCATCTGCATCCGAATCCTCGGATGGGAATTTAAACTTAAACTTAGACCAGAAGAAGTGATCAATATTGAATTTTAATTCTAAAACCTTGATTTAAACCATATTTTGAAGAATTTCGCACAAGAATGGAAAGAAGAACTAGATTGAATTAGACCCCTTACCGATTGTCCAAGGACACCTCCCTCAAGTCCAGTTCCAGTTCCAAACGGGACGATCGGGGTATGGTGGTCCCTGCATATCTGGACCACTTGACTCACTTCCTCTGTGGACCTGGGCCATACAACTAGATCTGGAGATGAAACTGGGCTGAATACCAAGATAAGAATACAAAGTCAAGTGTTATCACACTGTGGTTATTGTCCATTTTGTAATGTCATTTTTATTTGGTACGTACATAGAAGTTTTATACATTTTAGGTCGGCCATTTGCATACATGTATAAGGGTCACTCACTCAAATCTGGCTGCCATCTACCGAGCAACATTTTACAAGATTTGTACCACATACTCAATTATAAGTTCTAGGTGCTTAAAATCATTTTATTGTTATGTTATTTTCTTGTTTTGTTTTGTTGTATTTAATCAGATATTGTATGTAAATTGTTATATGTTTTTTATGAGAAGTGGAAAATAAATGAAATGAAATGTGTACATGTATTCCTTTTTTTGTTGTTCTACAAAGCTGTTACTTGAATTGAATAGCAATTCTTGGCTAAAGCTATTCATGGAAAAAATTATACTATAGAATGGGTTAAAGAAGTCTCCTTGCGATCTGATTGTTCAAGAGCCAAGGTATATGGCTGAGTTACTTTTACTGGAGAAACAACAAAATCATATCTGTGTCAGTGTATCAATGCACTGCAAGTTTGACTATTAAAAATATTAAAAATATTAATGCTGTTAGAAGGTATTCAAAAGAGAGCAAGTAGAATAATTTTAGAATCAAATAAATTCTGTCCTGGTTGAATTGAATTGAATCGAGAGTAGCTCCATTATTACAACTTACATGTGATATGATTCATCATGGCTGTGTTGCTCCCGTACAGCTTCCGATGCAGATACGTTCTGGGAACCAACTATGGCTGCAATGGATTCTTGAGCTCCTACAACAGTAGACTAACAAAAAAATAAAAAAAGAAGAAGTAACAAATGAGATTAACTTGGGCTACTTTTATATTACTACAGAAGCAGGACATTTACAGTATCATTTTAAAAGTTTTAAAGCTAAGTTTACATATTCGTGTGGAGTCTGTTTTTTGTGTATTATAATTCTCCCATTTCTCCTACTCCTCATTCTTCTCCCACTAATTTTTCTTCTTCTTCCCCCTCCTTCTCCTCCTCGCTTTTTGTCTTCTTCTTGTTCTCCTTGTTCTTGTCCTTCTTATTCTTCTTGTTTTGTTTTTCTCAAGTTGTTCTTCTTCATTTTCTTCATTATTACCTTCTTTGACACAAATGGAGTAGCTTAGTAAAATTAAAGTCCCAAGCTGTGGAAATAATTATCACAATTATCATCACAATAACCATTGTCATCATTTTTTTTTTTTTTTTTTAAACGTTTTAGCCCTCCATAGGCTATTTTATTGAGTCAAACAAACATTTTTACAATTCAATGAAATTAAGTCTTTCCTTAACTCAAACAAAACAGAATACTTTCACATTTCTCTCCTTGTTGTTCATACAAACAAATGTTGAAATGCCTGCCATTTAGTAAAAAATTTGTTATGCATACCAGATATAGAATGGATATATCTCTCGTCTTCATATTAATATTGAATAATTTTCTTCTTCAAAGAACTAAAATTTGGAATTTTGTTATTAAGCTTGTCATCATTTTACCTTGTTTGTGACGGATGAAGCTGAGAGGGCCCTAGCAAAGTTACATAGACCACCATGGCATGGGACCCTGCATACACTTGTGATGAGCCTTGATAATACTAATAGTGACATCATGCTGCAAGAAAAGAAGACAAAATAAAGTGACAGTGTTTTAAAAATGAGAAAGCTTAGAATTTTTGCACTGTGTTTCAATATGTTACATTCCAGATTATAACTATATCATTAGGCATTACATAGTACACTACAATCAATACAGAACTGGAAACATATTTACATCTGACAAATAAGCAAAGACAAATATGTTGATTGTTTATATTTAAATTAGAGGTCTAGATCAAAGTCTTTGACTTTGAGTTTGAGTTTGAGAGAGATATTTATAGTAAAAAAAGCACCAATTGACTTACCAGACTTCAAAACACAGCAAAAATTTGTCATTTAAGTCTTTTGACAAACTTGAAAGCTATCATTGCATTGGCTCCCGCAAAAAAACAGAGTAGATCTAACTCTACTTCACCAGGCCAGGCCAGCACCATGCACCAGCTACATATGTATATGCTATATATCAGCAGCTCTCGATCTCGTCGCGCGTCGTTGCACAAACAAGACACATGCAAATGCAGACGATTTTAGATCTGGTCACGTGACCTATTTTATCTTCAGGTACTAGGTCAGGTGACGTTCGGCATATCGAGGCCTCTGACCAGTCTCACCTCCCTTTTTTCTGATCTGGCATGCATGATTCAGTGTACATTTCTACACTCATGAATGCGCCAGTCTCTTGGGGAATCTACTTGGTAATTGGTCCTCCAAAATACTCGTTTAAGGGAAAAACGAGCTTTCCTTGCGTGGTGATTGAAGCTGATCAGTGAATTACACAATATGTGTGGGTCATAAAAGGGAAGACACTCCCTGTTGGGTTGGGTCAATACCGTACCAATCCGATGGTGTCAAATTCCAGAGTACCCAAGATAAAATTATGTCAAGTTATACTTTTCCACTTCAAAATTCGCTTAGTTACGTACACTTCAAGTTACAGCACCCTCTACAGCAAATTCCAGCATTCTCTGACTATTAAAATACAGGACAAAAATTATCAAAGAGATCCTAATTTTGTTTCGCGGAGATGATGGCTATATACACCAAAAAGCAAATATTTATGTGTATGTTTGATAATGTTAATTTGGGGGCAATTAAAGGGGTTGTTCAATATCTCCAGAACACCCAAGGTTATTTTGGAATGCCTGCATTTTATGTGCAGCCAGGCACAATGACAGCCCGTGTACTCGTACAGGTTTGTCCCATCTCAGCTCATCATTTTTCTCATTTCTGGACTGTCACCTGTTCATATCCCACTCTCTTCAATATTCTCACTCATTCTGTTCAAATGTTTTTCTTCATCTGTTCATTAACCTCTATGTATCATCCTCACTTATTAAGCCTAATTATTCTGTTCAATTTTTTCTTCATCTGTTCTCTAACCTCTATGGATCATTCTCAATTATTCTGTTCATTTTTTTTTCTTCATCTGTTCTCTATAACCTCTACGTATCATTCTCACTTATTCTGTTCAATTTTTTTTTATTTTATTTGTTCTCTAACCTCTACATATCATTCTCACTTATTTTGTTTAAATTTGTTTTCTTCATCTGTTCTCTATAACCTCTATGTATCATTCTCACTTATTCTGTTCTGCCTAATTATTCTGTTCAATTTTTTCTTCATCTGTTCTCTAACCTTTATGGATCATTCTCAATTATTCTGTTCATTTTTTTTTTTCATCTGTTCTCTATAACCTCTACGTATCATTCTCACTTATTCTGTTCAATTTTTTTTAATTTTATTTGTTCTCTAACCTCTACATATCATTCTCACTTATTCTGTTCATTTTTTTTTCTTCATCTGCTCTCTATGTATATCATTCTCACTTATTCTGTTCAATGTTTTTCTTCTTCATCTGTTCTCTTTAAACCTCTATATCATTCTCACTTATTCTGTTCATTTTTTTGTTTTCTTCATATGTTCTCTATAAACCTCTATATCATTCTCACTTATTCTGTTCAATGTTTTTTTTTTCTTCATATGTAATCTCTATAAACCTCTATATCATTCTCACTTATTCTGTTCAATGTTTTTTTTCTTCATCTGTTCTCTTTAAACCTCTATATCATTCTCACTTATTCTGTTCATTTTTTTGTTTTCTTCATATGTTCTCTATAAACCTCTATATCATTCTCACTTATTCTGTTCAATGTTTTTTTTTCTTCATATGTTCTCCATAAACCTCTATATCATTCTCACTTATTCTGTTCATTTTTTTGTTTTCTTCATATGTTCTCTATAAACCTCTATATCATTCTCACTTATTCTGTTCAATGTTTTTTTTCTTCATCTGCTCTCTATGTATCATTCTTACTTATTCTGTTCAATGTTTTGTTTTCTTCATATGTTCTCTATAAACCTCTATATCATTCTCACTTATTCTGTTCATTTTTTTTTTCTTCATCTGCTCTCTATGTATCATTCTTACTTATTCTGTTCAATGTTTTGTTTTCTTCATATGTTCTCTATAAACCTCTATATCATTCTCACTTATTCTGTTCAATTTTGACTTCATCTGTTCTCTATAAACCTCTATGTATCATTCTCGCTTATTTTGTTCAATTTTGTCTTCATCTGTTCTCTATAAACCTCTGTATCATTCTCACTTATTCTGTTCATTTTTTTCTTCATCTGCTCTCTATGTATCATTCTCACTTATTCTGTTCATTTTGTTTTCTTCATTTGCTCTCTATGTATCATTCTCACTTATTCTGTTCAATTTTTTCTTCTTCATATGTTCTCTGTAAACCTCTATTTATCATTCTCACTTATTCTGTTCAATTTTTCTCTTCATCTGTTCTATAAAACTCTATAAAACTCTATGTATCATTCTCACTTATTCTGTTCAATTTGTTCTCTTCATCTGTTCTCTAACCTCTATGTATCATTCTCACCAGTTGTGTATATAGCACATGGGACCATGTAGCCACTAAGCAGGGAAACTGCCACAAAGAGGGGGGGGGGGGGGGGGGGGGGGGGGGGGGGGGGGGGGGGGGGGGGGGGGGGGGGGGGGGGGGAATGCTAGACTTGCAGCAGGGTAATGAAATGTGAACTGAATTGGGGGAAGGTGTGGAAATTAAAGAGTCCTAGTTATCATTTTGTTAATGTTCCTGTACACCTCCCTTAAAATTTGGCTGTTTTTTTTTCTTTGTTTTCTTTTTACTTTAATTTAAGTTTTTTGCCATTCAACTAATAGGAGGCTGGAGGGGGGGGGGGGCACATACATAGGCCTAACGTGCGGATCAGCACACCCAGAAACCATGCAACTAAAAGGCAATGTAATAACTTTAAATAATCCTACAGAATTGCATGTAAAATACTTAAACAGCTATAAAGGAAACAGGATACAAAACATTCAAAATTATTCATAATTATAGGAAAATATTTTATTTCATTGTCTAAAAATTCAAAATATTCATAAACATTACACTGAAGACACAATCGTTCAACTTGATTCATTACAAAAAGAAAACCACTACTGCAATATTTCCAGTATAATGTTTCTCTATCAGAAGGCGGTTCAAGTATTTTTATGCCAGTCAGTAAAATCTCAAGAACTACAGGTCATAGTGAAAATGAAAACCAAAAGGAATGAAAAATAGTAATTTTAATACTTATAAACAGTTCTTGTATAGCATTATGAATTAACACTCATATTTCCCTATGCACTTACAAAGTTTGCATATTGTTTCCCTTGCTTAAACTCTGGCATTTTTTTACAAGTGCACAGTGCATTTTAATAAATGAGTCTCAATGAAACAATGTACATTGAGACATCTTTAGATGTTATAAACGTTGAATTTACTATGGCGAAAAGTTATTATAATTTAATGCTAGAAAGGAAAAAAGAGAAAATTGGTTTCCATTTTTGGCAAAATATTTTAGGCCTACCAGAAACATTTGTTTGGAAATATGTATTTCAGTTCAAATTTAATAACATAAGAGACAATAAGATCAACCATATTTTAGGCCTACCAGAAACATTTGTTTGGAAAGATGTATTTCAGTTCAAATTTAATAACATAAGAGACAATAAGATCAAACAATATAATTTTAAATTCATAGAATATTGCCATCTAAAGACAATCTCTTTTTATGGAAAATCGTACAGTCTAACAAATGTGAAATTTGTCGTGAAAAAGAAACTATTGAACATTTTATATTTCGTTGCAAGAAATTAAGAGTTTTCTGGAAAATTATCTCAAGAATTATATATTTCATTTTTAAAATAGAAATTGAAATTGATATGAAAATGTTATTGATTGGATATAAAATAGATAACTTGGATAAATTATGCTCAACTGGTTATATACAAAGACTACATTAAGCGGAACTTTGGAGAAGTACCAACCAATCCAAAGAGGTTAATAAATAATTTTATTTCATCATTAAAATGTTATTTGAAATACAAAGAAAATATAAAATACTTCGATATTGAGGAAGTTAAGAAAGTATTAGAAATGTTAAAATGATCATTTTAAGATATTATGTTGATCTTGTATATAATTCATGTTTCATTTTACTTGTTTTGTAAATACATGTAATATATATGTATTTTGAAATGGAACAATAAAGTCCCTCTGAAGAGGTAAAGAGAAAAAAAAAATTAAACATGACTCAGCTCATCTGATTTAGCCATGTAATCAAATATAATCTCATTCTAATATCTCTAAACCATCATCTGCCTTCCTTGATTATTGTTTATTAAAGGTGGCATAACCACCTTTTGCTTCAAATGTTTCTTCCCATTTTTCTCCTTTAAACTTCTGTACAATCTCTCCTTTAATTGTTCCTGGGTCTACGCAGTGAGGGCAGATTCCTGCATAAAATACAGAAAAGCAAGGGGAAAATGTTGTAGTTACTACACAGAAAGAAAAACAACAACATCATTAACAGAAGGAAAATATGCCACTATATTTCATAAATTGTGTAGCCAGGATTTGTATTTTCACTTGGGGGGGGGGGGCACAGCATTATGTTGGTGAAAAGTTGAATTGTATCATAAGAGGAAGCAAGGTGACTGGGCCACAGAAAAATGTATTTTGAAATAATGAAACTTGACATCCTAAAGATGCAAATCTTATAAATATACATGATTAATTACTGACCATGCATACTCTTATAAATCCTAACCCTCTTGCCCCCCCCCCCCCCCCCCCCCCCCCCCTCTAAAAAGAAAACAAAATCTTATCTCATTAGTCTGCTTTACACAAAAGATAAATAACCTAATTCCTAATATCAAAAAGGAAATAATCTTTCTACAAATGACACATTGTCTGTTGACAGTCGGAATAGTCATCAACTTGAATCTGTACTTTAGCAGACGATACATCTGCTTTAAACTGACCTTTGCAGTCAGGGCTTGACCTAGGAGTATAGAAGCTCTGTACTCCGCACACCTTACAGAATGTGTGTTTGGCTTGGCCAGTGTTGAATGTGTAACAGGATAGAATGTCCTCTCCCTAGGATATGGAAGAAAGGGAGGAGAAATAAGAGAAAAGTGGTGAGAAAAAAGCAAAAGAAAACAAATAGTGATAAAAATCCCAATTGTCTTATAATGAAGGATAGGGGTACAGAGCAAGCAATATATTTTTTTTTTCTCTCAGGAAGCCAACACTTACTAAAGATGAATTACAAATGGAACTTGAAGATATGTTTGAGAACCTCCACATAGCAATAAGAAAACTGTAATTTAAGAATGTGTAGAATATGAAGAAATTACTCACCCACCATAATGCCTCCACCCTCTCTCTCTCTCTCTCTCTCTCTTTCTCTTTCTTGATTAAATATTCAAAATATTCAAAATATGTACAGTAGAGCTACATCACACAAGAACAATCTTTTCTTTTGCAATCAAGGAACTCACCTGCAAAAGTTTAAACTTTGAGTTTGGAACTATGAAGTGCTTGTTTTGTTTCTTGACACAAATGCTGCAACTGAAATAAAAGAGGATAAATGGCTGCTTATATCACAATCAAAATCCAAAATATTCAGCACCAAACAGAACATTCTATGATCATCATAATCTAAGTCGAGATTGAAAATATGAGATCACATTAGCATTGACCATTTTTCATGGTGGGAAAGAAAAATGGACTGACCACTTACATTTCTTGAACCCATTTTATAAATGTAAATACTGCTTTTGATTAAGGGAATATTCCTGATTTCCTGATTTGGCAGAGCAAAGCTGTCTTGCATCTCCTTTTAACTTTTTTTTTTCATTCTAAAATTCAAAAAATACTGGATGAAGAATACATACCGTACTCAAGAAAGTCCAGAATGAAGACAAAAAAATGTCCAAATAAGTTCATACTTCAACAAATTTTACATATTGGAGTTAACCAAGTAATGAACACCAATCTATGAACAAAATGACCAAAAACAAAAACAAACAAAAATTCTTATGACTTACCTACAGTCCCATATGTTGACAACAGCTGGGGCCAACAACTCGAACCTCACTGCACCACAGTGACATCCTCCTGTGTGCTTGACCAGAGTGGTCTCTTCTTTAGTTTCTTCTGCCATCCTTCATTTATAACCCTATAAGTATAAGATGGGGGGGGGGGGAGATTATACAAAAATTAATGCTCACATTCTTAAAGATATTGTCATATTTCCTTAGACAGTTAGATATTGCAAGATAGCTAGAGGCCAGGGGGCAATTTCTCGAAACCAACTTCATGACAGTCATATCTTTGTCGGCGACCTACGGAGATGTCATGAAGTGGATAAACCGTTTCACAAAGCCATGACAGACATGATATCGATATATCGCGATACTAGCAGCTCAAGAACATAATCTTTGTCACAATCCATTTTATTTATCACAAATAACCCAAAACAAATTTTGGGGCTAAAATTGTTCAAAAAGAAACATATATACATATAAATTCTCCTAAAATAAATAAAAAATAGTGTCATTATCAAATGTAGATCATCAAACGGTTTGCATATTTCTGTAAAAATTCTTAAATTGAAGAAAAACCGGTGAGTGTTTTTTTCTTGACAATCCAATCAAAAGGTAGTTGAAGGATACCGTAATGTGATAGTTTATCCATACATACTTATTTTGTTAATGTGACGCGGAATTTTAGGCAAAATACCTTTTCTCAGCCAGTTTTTATTCTAGAGTCTCATAAATACTCATTATATAATTGATTTGATATTGAAAATATAATTTGGAAGAAGTAATTAGAGAGGGAATAATAATGCACATAGGCCCCAAAGGTATGGTGGTATCGACTATGGACAACGGTGTGTAACATTCTTATCTCTTTTATTTATATCTTATAGTTTAAAGATTTGTGATTTTATGTTTATATTCAGTTTTTTTAAAATTTCTGTATAATTTTGATTATCACTTCTTTACATTTGCATTTCGCATCCCAGAGAATTACGTACCGAACTCGTCTATATTTTTCTCAAAATGATAGTGAAACTAATCGTACATTTCGCAGCCCATGGAATAGCAACAAACTGACTTGTGATGGCACTTTACAGCAATTAAAATGATATGACGGGTTCGGAGCAGTGACAACTCATTTTCGCGGAAGTTGTCGCTCATCTTGGCAAAGACGGCTTCGTGAAACACTTAGCTGACAAGTTGCGTGACAGTGTCGACATGTCGTTGATCTTGTAGTTATGACGGTTTCGAGAAACGGCCCTCAGTGCCATTTCACATATTGCAATTTTCCTAATAACACAATCAAATTCTTTTGCCAATCTGATAACCTCTTGAGATAATTTGGTAACACATTGTCACAACAATGTAGAACTCTATATGGCATTGTTGTGACAAAGTGGGCAATTGATTAATATTTTCAATTTAAGTTTCATTTATTTCATGAATAATCATTAAATAAGGAATACCAAATTACAAATTCAACAACCGACTTGTTAACAATAACATCATACCAACTTAGACTAATTGGACATGTTTTGAATGATCATCTCATCTGAAATATTATTAATCTATTAGCCTAGGCCTATTAGTATTATTCCTTTACGCAAGATGAGACAAAGGATTTTTTTATATAAAGAATTAATTGATAGGCCTAAGTAAGAGTTAAATTAGACACTCCAATTATGACATTCCTGATTTTTAAAATGACTATGGTGCAAGACCCAGAAGCTGGGACATCCCCCCCCCCTTGAAGTTAGACCTGGAAGCTTGGCAGCTGGAGACAGCTTTCTTCCAGAAGCTGGGTAGACTACTCAAGGTATTCAAGACTCTCAAACTAAGTCTCGGTCTCAGAAACTAAAACTAAAAATAAATTGTTGGAGATAAACTGATATTATTTTCATTTAATAGACTCTAGACTAGTCAAAAATTGACTGATTGTCATAGGCATAACTACGGAGCCCCGGAAGTGACATGGAGAAATTTTTTTTTTCTCGTTTTCCTGAGATAAATTCTCGTTTTCCTGAGATAATTTTTCGTTTTCCTGAGATAAATTCTCGTTTTCCTGAGATAATTTTTCGTTTTCCTGAGATAATTCCCGTTTTCCTGAGATAAATTCTCGTTTTCCTGAGATAAATTCTTGTTTTCCTGAGATAATTTTTCGTTTTCCTGAGATAATTCCCGTTTTCCTGAGATAAATTCTCGTTTTCCTGAGATAAATTCTCGTTTTCCTGAGATAATTTTTCGTTTTCCTGAGATAAATTCTCGTTTTCCTGAGATAATATTTCGTTTTCCTGAGATAATTCCAGTTTTCCTGAGATAAATTCTCGTTTTCCTGAGATAATTTTTCGTTTTCCTGAGATAAATTCTCGTTTTCCTGAGATAATATTTCGTTTTCCTGAGATAATTCCCATTTTCCTGAGATAAATTCTCGTTTTCTCAGGAAAACGAGAATTTATCTCAGGAAAACGAAATATTATCTCAGGAAAACGAGAATTTATCTCAGGAAAACGAAATATTATCTCAGGAAAACGAGAATTTATCTCAGGAAAACGGGAATTATCTCAGGAAAACAAAATATTATCTCAGGAAAACGAGAATTTATCTCAGGAAAACGAAAAATTATCTCAGGAAAACGAGAATTTATCTCAGGAAAACGGGAATTATCTCAGGAAAACGAAATATTATCTCAGGAAAACGAGAATTTATCTCAGGAAAACGAAAAATTATCTCAGGAAAACGAGAATTTATCTCAGGAAAACGGGAATTATCTCAGGAAAACTAAATATTATCTCAGGAAAACGAGAATTTATCTCAGGAAAACGAAAAATTATCTCAGGAAAACGAGAATTTATCTCAGGAAAACGAGAATTTATCTCAGGAAAACGGGAATTATCTCAGGAAAACGAAAAATTATCTCAGGAAAACGAGAATTTATCTCAGGAAAACGAGAATTTATCTCAGGAAAACGAAATATTATCTCAGGAAAACGAGAATTTATCTCAGGAAAACGGGAATTATCTCAGGAAAACGAAATATTATCTCAGGAAAACGAGAATTTATCTCAGGAAAACGAAAAATTATCTCAGGAAAACGAGAATTTATCTCAGGAAAACGGGAATTATCTCAGGAAAACGAAATATTATCTCAGGAAAACGAGAATTTATCTCAGGAAAACGAAAAATTATCTCAGGAAAACGAGAATTTATCTCAGGAAAACGAAAAATTATCTCAGGAAAACGAAAAATTATCTCAGGAAAACGAAATATTATCTCATGAAAACGAGAATTTATCTCAGGAAAACGAAAAATTATCTCAGGAAAACGAGAATTTATCTCAGGAAAACGGGAATTATCTCAGGAAAACGAAATATCATCTCAGGAAAACGAGAATTTATCTCAGGAAAACGAAAAATTATCTCAGGAAAACGAGAATTTATCTCAGGAAAACGGGAATTATCTCAGGAAAACGAAAAATTATCTCGGGAAAACGAGAATTTATCTCAGGAAAACGAGAATTTATCTCAGGAAAACGAAATATTATCTCAGGAAAACGAGAATTTATCTCAGGAAAACGGGAATTATCTCAGGAAAACGAAGTATTATCTCAGGAAAACGAGAATTTATCTCAGGAAAACGAAAAATTATCTCAGGAAAACGAGAATTTATCTCAGGAAAACGGGAATTATCTCAGGAAAATGAAATATTATCTCAGGAAAACGAGAATTTATCTCAGGAAAACGAAAAATTATCTCAGGAAAACGAGAATTTATCTCAGGAAAACAAGAATTTATCTCAGGAAAACGAAAAATTTTCTCAGGAAAACGAGAATTTATCTCAGGAAAACGGGAATTATCTCAGGAAAACGAAATATTATCTCAGGAAAACGAGAATTTATCTCAGGAAAACGAGAATTTATCTCAGGAAAACGAAAAATTATCTCAGGAAAACGAGAATTTATCTCAGGAAAACGAGAAAAAAAAAAATTCTCCATGTCACTTCCGGGGCTCCGTACATAACACTATTAAATCGACAACAGTCAGAGAATCAGACCCAACATAGATCAAGACGAACATCGTCACTGCACAGTGCACTGCACAGTCACTCACTCACTGCAGAGTCATTTACTTTTTAGATCTATTCTATTCAAGACTAGAGACGACAAGGCAATGATTAGTCAAAAAAATTAGCCAATCGACAGTAGATCTATACTTAGGCATAGTAGCTAGACCTCTACAAATACAATACAAGTTCTAGTTACTCACTCACTAAAATTCTAATTTTAAGTACATATGACTGACTATTTCACTCATTTTATGGAAACATTACCCTGTCTTTCGATGCAGCGACAACCAGATGCTGGTGATTGTACGTCAAAGACAGATGCAGATGCGGATGCGGATGCAGATGCAGATGCAGCTTACACTTTTTACAGGTTTGAACTTTGAGCAACTCAAAGCGTCATCCTCGGTCATGTGACCCACATTGTTGTCAGGTGATCGGACCTGGATCGCTACAGCAAAATACAAGTGCATCGCATTGCCCAGTGCCATATACACGCAAGCGCAAAACACGCCATAGATTTATACACACGTAGGCCTATATCCGTACATAATTATTTAGCAGCGACCCTCGACCGTGGCGCGGCGCTAGCCGAAGCTTTGCGCTCAATTCAAAGCTGTGTGTTGGATTCGTGATGGCAGTACCTTCATCTGAAACAAGCCCAAGAGCCAGGCCTGGGTCTGGAATGATTGAGTCATTTATCGCAAAACTAGATCCAAATGTTGACTCAGCGATCATCAAAACAACTTTGAAAAACATCAGGGAGAAAATTCACCATTCCAAGCAATTCTACAAAGACTTTCTCGTCACGTTTTATGCATCAGATGGAGGGATCAAACTCCTTGAAATTTTGAGAGAAAAGGTTGAAGATGAAGAGGTCGTTGACCTGTCTGTCAGTGTTTTGGCCACCTGTTGTTTAGATAAAAATAATGCAGAGCAGGTATTATAATGTTTTCCATAAATTTTACAAATTTTTTCTTTGAGCAGATTAAGATTTAGTTCACCAAGGCCAGGGCATGCAAGCTAGCAAGAGCAAGAGGATCAAAATACCATTCATTCACATGACAATGCATCCATCATTTGTCAATTTATTAACAACAGCATTGTCATGATTGGCGAGCAGGCCATTTATGAAAGATGAAATTATGAGTAAATAATATTGAGCCAGTTCATATTTCAGCAATTTCTTTCAGTTTTTTAAGAAAAATTCTGAAGTGCTTTTGATTTTGCAGATATGTTTTCCACATTTGTTTAGACAGCTGCATGCCTTTGGCTTGGCTTGAGAAGTTTATCAACATACTTTGACTTTTGATCAATGCACTAAGCAAGATGAAGTCTCGATGGCCTAGAGGTCTATTTCCCCATAATTGGATTGACATTTTTTTTGGTCTAGATTTGTTTGGGCAATGTCAAAATGACTTTGACACCACTTGTGTTGCATTACTTTACTTACTTACTTTAATACACGATGTTGTGTAGGTCTAAGCCTGTTCATCGATCCAGGATTCTTCCATGATTAACTTAAGGTAATACAAAGTTTTGGTATGGGGTCATGAATTTGGTTCAAATGGACATATTAGAAGCATATGCGATCCTACAATATTCAGTGATCGTTGTCGGGGTTGAAATCCAGTCTTCAGTTATGAAATTGTAAATAATAATGTTGTATAGCTCCCTCTCAAGGTCAAGATATTAATTAAGCTATAAAACAATGTTTCTTGACTAAAATCGACCAATTAGCTATTCCCGTTTGGAAATTATATATTACAACTACATATTCTGAGATTTTCATGGTCGCAGCTAGCATTGTACGGCCGTTACTTGGCGTTATTTGAAATTTATCAAAATTTACCGGGAGCACCGGTAAATTTTTATATTCAATATTTCTCGAAAGTAGAAGTGTTTTAGGGGATAAACTTTCTAGTGCTTATAATACTTCCACACAGGCATCTAAATATATCAAAATTGGAAAGAATTACTGTCCACCCAATTTTCATCATTTCCCAAAACTTTGTACTACCTTTAATAAGAAGTTAGGTTTTTGTTCATTTCTTCATTTGCTTAATTGTTCATCATCAGGTATTATAAAATTAGCGGAATGTTCTTTCTTTTTTATTTTTAAGTCAAATCTTGATGTGTGTAATTTTTCATCATTGACCATGTAAGGTTCTTATATAAATCTCAATCATATTCCAATCGATGTTGTAACAAGTGTAACAAAATGTCTGTAATTTGATTTATCTGTCCATTACAGGTGAAGGATTCCAGTGGCATTGCAATCATTGGTAAGTTCTGAATCAATCAAGAAAATTACATTGCATGTAATCCTCCATCCATAACATAACTCATTAACTCTTTCCTTCAGTCATATTCTGCTTGTTTCTGAACCGAGTTACAACTGACTTACATGTACGCATATCCAAGTATTCTAGAGGTTTAGAAATTCAGCTCACAATTTCTTTGTTTTAAGTGCACAGAAGCCCTTGGCCTTGATTTCTCTCCGGATATTAGCCCCCCCAAAAAATGAATCATGATGCTTAACTCAATACTTGGGGAAACGATCTCTCAGTCATTTATGGGAGAAATATATGTATACTATCAAAACTTTAGTGTAGTATGTTTCATTGCTATCGTCAAGTATATTGTTCTCTCTCAAAACATATTTTTATTCCCTTTCCAGCCTCTGTCCTGAGACATTATTCAGAATCCTCCATCAGCATTACCAACCGATGTGCGAGGGCTCTCGCTAACCTCGGCAAAAGTACAGACATCGAGGATAACCTGGAAGAAGATGTTGTACCCATCCTGGTTCATGCCCTTGATATCACTGAAGACAGTGGATGTTGTCACAGTCTTCTGCGAGTCCTCAAGATATTTGCCTCGAGCAAGAACAAAACCATTCTCTGGAATGTCATCAAATGTGGAGGATTGCGTGTTGTCTGTGTGAAGTCCAAGTCCAAAGACAGTAAACTTGTCCTCCTGGCAGTCGAGACTGCTGTGGCACTCACTGCGCCATTCGATAAGCGAAAATCACGTTGCGCCCTGACGCTTCCTGTTGCAGCAGCCAATCCGGTACTAGAGAATGATAGTTTGTCAAATCTCTTTGACCTTCTGTCTCACCATAGACCCGAGGTGCAGAATCATTCCTGGGAATGCATTGGTAACCTGATGTCAAGTGACATTGGGAGAGCGGCCCTCGGGAATGCAGGATTCGTCAAGTTTTACCTGGCAACGGCCAGGAACGAAGACGTCAAGAAATCTGTCAGGGAACGATGCGCCCAGTACCTCTGCCTCTGCTGCCAGGAATCTGTGAACAGAGCAAAGATGTCTGAGCTCCATGGCTTGCAGTTCCTCATTGATCTCTTAAATGGTGATGCAGACTCTCTGCCAGATGTCCCATCTGCTCTGGTGATTGCAGCCATTGCTGAATTTCGCTTCGATGCCATTGCCATGGAACATTTTGCAAACCACAACCTTGTGAAGGTACTTATTCTACATCTTCAGAAGAAAGTAAAGGCACAGAGTGAGCCTCCAGAGGACGATGAAGAAAGTAAGATTTTCTTTGTTGTTGTTTTCATTATGCTATTTGATGGTCATGGAATTCATTACAATGTCTTTGCTTTAAATTGGAATACAAATGAATATTTATCCCCATTTCAAGCATAATGCAGTTATAACCTTAAAGAACATTTCTGTTATACTATACTGTACCTTGTTGTGCATAAAGGAAATTGAGAAAAATTTCACTTAATGGTAGGCAGCAAATCTGCAGTCACTTTTGCAAGCTTCGAAAATACAAATGCAATTACTCATACTGCGCGACCAGTCTTCTTTGTTTATTTTTGGTTCCCTAGACAATTTGGTGACCAAACATTAAAGTCCTGTAAGAGTTAACTTTAATCCACAGATATATGTAAGGACACAATTAGGATTATAGCTCATAAGAGGTCCTAAATTTAAAATTTCTCTTTGTTTTTTGATTTACAGAAGCATCAGGAAAAGAAAAAGATGTATCACTGAAGAGAGCTGACAGGAAAAGGAAGAGAAAGAGACAAAGGGATACATCAAAGAGAACAAAACGCGACTCTGATTTTGAAGATTCAGATACTCAAACCGGAGTTGATGTTGACAAGAATCTTTTGAATCCACCACAGGCGACACCTCAGCCATCAACCCCAGACTGTGATGATGGCTTGTCTCCCAAGTATTCAGCTCACTGGTATCCAGAGAGCCCAAAGCTTTCACCACCTCCTCAGAGCAACCTCTCAGGGTCTTCTCCATCAAAGTATTACGCCTCTGGGCTTTCCCCACCAAGGGCTCATTGCAGTGCCTCTCCGCCGCCCACCCACCAACCAACCTACCAGTTTCCCTCATCTATGATGTCTCCGCCTAAGAGCCACAGCACTTCTCCAGGGAGCAGTCCGTCATACTTTTACGACCCATCGTCTCCCCCAAAGTTCTTCGGTTACTCTGAAGAGTTTTTTAGCCCTGTGGTGAGCGAAGAATCAGATACTGATAACAATACCAGCTCTGAGAGTTGTGACAATATGGATGAGGAGGAGAGAGGAGTAAATCCAGGGTTGATGGAAAATGCAGAAGATGGGGCCAGGTCAAGGATGCAACATAATGATGGAGAGCCAAGCGGAACGTTGTTGGCTCAAGCAACAAGAAAATTGACCTTGTTGAAATGTGACACAACAACTTTGCCAAAATCTGAAGAAACTGCAAATGTTGTGACTGGATCATCAATGGAAGTTGAGTCATCGATGGATTCTGAGACCGCAGCCACCTCTGCAGATGTACAAAGGGCAAAAGGAAGGACTAAAAGTTGCAAGTCAGAGTTGCCCTCACCCAAGCCATCAACGTTACGTTCCAGAAGTCCACCTCTTACTGCACGTAGGACTAAGAGAGTTCCTTCATCTCCTAGGACAAGTTTTAGTGGTGATCTCACAGATGGGGAGAGGACACCCTCAAAGGAACCTGAGACACGTCGCAAGCGCAGACACGAGGAGGAAAACATTGTGCTTATCTTCCGGGAAATGATACTCCTTCACCACGTCCCCTCCATCATGTACATAGCGAGGGAATGTTCAGTAGAGACCTTACTTCACTGTGCAACTATGGAGATGGTAGCCAAAGACAAAGCCCATATGCTCCTCAAGGATATACTATCATCCAGAATCTTCTACGACAAACTGATGTCTCACAACATCCCGTACCTTATCTACAGGTCACTGACCACAAGTGAAAAAACTCAAGAGCAATGCAGAAGACATGAAAAGCAGGAGCCTGCCAAAAAGATGGCTAAATCCATGGTCGATGAACACCAAAGTTCATACGAGAGACAACGAAGCAGGGTGCAGGAGTATCTTGATATCCTGAGGGACATTGCTGAAAGCTCTTTTGGACAGAAGGAGATGGAACATGTTTTAAGAGAACAACAGAAAGAAGGGAAACTGTCTGCTGCCCTCTCATTGCCGTATCTGTACAGGTGAAGTACTGTGGTCCATTTGACAAAGGGTTTAGACTTGAGCTAAGGAAAGTTTTAAAGGGGGTGTGTTAAGTTAAATACTGCAGAACTACAGATATATTATTGTTAAATAACGACTTGTCACTGAATCAAGAGTTTTCAATATAGAAATCATATCTTTGCAGGAAGAAGGGTGATAACTCTGTAATTAATGTAAAATGATATTATTGCCTCCTGTCTCTAAGCAGATGAATTATGAGATACTTATTGCAAATATCATTCTATGTCTATGTAATGTACACATACAGTGTAGGTGACTTAAGATCAGGAAATGAACATGTTGAATAAGAATACAGATGATAAATACAGACTTCTTCGGCAAACAGGAAATGATGTAAAATGAAACAGAATTTTTTTTCACTGTAAGCTTGCCAACATCTCTATACAAATGGTTTGATTTGGGGAATTTTTCTGTTGGGGTTGCTACCTTTGCTTGGCAGTTGAACAGAAAACAATGTAAAATGAAAAGAGGAAATGGGTTTTTCAGAATGTGCAATGACTGTCAGGATAAGGCTATCAAGGCATCAGCAATATTGCATAGTGCCTTCGGTAGATTCTCTAGATATTCTGCTCTGTAATTAAACAATGCATTTTTTTTCGTTATTGGTAGTATCCATGTACATGTAGGTGATGACTTTCTTTCCTCTTTCAACTCTGAATAGCTCTGGCAGAATACTAAGGGATCTCGTAGTGGACTGTGAGACAGTACAACAGATGTTACAGCAGTTTCAGAACCAGTCCTCAAAGGAGCTGCTGAGAAAAGCAAGCCATAGCCTGAGTCGTGCCTCCCGTCTACTACTTTCACACTGGGAGGACTATAAGGATAGGCACTTTGCTGTTGACACCATGTCATCATCTGATGAAGTCGTCCAACAGACCGAGGGTGGTGATGTGGCTGGGAGCAGTAGTTGCGATGAATGTCTCTACAGGGCTCAAGAACATCTAGTGGACCTGACCCTTGTCTGCAAAGGTGGCGAATCCTTGAGGGCAAGTAAGCAGATTCTGTCTGCGAGATCGGAGTACTTCGCCTGTCTTTTGACTGGACATTTCCAGGAGGCGTGTCAGGAATCAGTCAGTCTAGAAAGCATGCAGGTCAAGAGCTTGACCTGCGTGGTGCACAGTCTCTACGACTGTCACCCGCAGCGCTGCAGAACCCTTCGCAGCCTGGACAGGGAAACGATGGACAATCTTCTGGATATCATCGCAATGGTCAAGTTCTGTATGACTTCAAAGGACAGCCATCACCACGCAGGACCAGCTGAGTTTTGCTTGCTGGAGCAATGGGTCAATCATATTATACTGGGTTTCAATTTAGCGGATCGCACAGTGTGCAGACTCGCAAACTTTGCTGCGCTTCACAACTGCCAGAAGCTCCTCAAATGCTGTCTGCTCTTTGTACTTGGAAGTCGTTCTAGACTGCGTAAACACCTCAGGGTTCTTCTCACCTCAGGACTTGGTGACCAAATTCAGAACTGCATTGTTGAACTGTTTCAAAATGCTTGAAAACAAACCATAGGGAAAAATCCTTACTCTGTAACTGCTTTCTTATCTACTAGGGTTCTATTATCCCGTCAAATATCTTACCTATTCAACTATGATGGTAAGAATTTTAGTTAGATTATGTTTTGAGACTGAGGGATGATCACACTTGGCTCTCATTATAATCTTTAATCCTGAAAAGTGGGGCTCTTTAAAAGATATTACCCCCCCCCCCCCCCCCCCCCCCCCCCCCCCCCCCCCCGGAGATCTTAGCTGTGAAGTGCCCAATCATTTGGTAAAAACAGACTTTTTGTAGTAAATAAGGCCAATGATGAATAGTCTAATGAAAGTATTAAAGACTTTGTTTTGGCAATGCATTTTTGAATTCACAATTACCATATTAATATATACATCAGCAATCTAAGTTGCACTCTGTAACTTGTATTTATGCATATTTTAATTTATTTATGTATATTGCCCAATTCTGTTGAGGATCTAGTCGGTTCACTTTGTCTCATTATTTATGGTACTGGTGCACGCGTAAGAAATATATGTGTACTCTATATACATGTACTTCTATTAATTTCTGTGTTTTTTTTTTCATTATCATTTTATTAGAGGTTGGGAGGAGATTGGCAAGGAGAGAGTAGATGTAAGAGACAGTGATGAGAGAGAGAGAGAGAGAACGAATATGAGGTGAGAAGGAAGTGTAACGAAATTTTCAGGGAGATGAAGGGGAAAAGAGGTGGATAGAAAGAGAGAGGAAGGGAGTTTTAAGGGGAGGGGGTGGGGTATTGTGGGAGAGGGGAATAAGAGAAATTAGGAAATGGGGAGAAGGAAGAAATGGGAATGTCAGTGAGAGAGACAGACGGAGGGATGGGAGGACGGAGTAATGAAGGGAGGTTTCAAATTCTATTTTTTAAGAGATGGATGAGAGATGAAGGAACAAAGTCAAATGAGAGAGAGTGATGAAGTGAGTGAGTTATATATAGAGATAGATTGGTGTGGAAGGAGAGAGTGCGGTTGATATAATGTTTGCAACGCTAGATAGCGCTATACCATTTTTCTGCCTATCACAAATACAATACTGTCCATGACGAAAGTGAGCCTACCTTACTATAATGTCTAAAACGCAAGATGGCGCTAGACCACTCATTGCCCGGTTTGTTTCGTTCGTATCTGAACCAATCGTGATTCGATAAGAAGATTATTTGAATAAACATAGCACAAGGCATATTTAATCCATATTTTGATAGTTTGAACTAATTTTCAACGCAGTCAGGCAAAATACGGCGTACATCTAAAGTCGTTCGTTGACATTGCCCGATTTCAGCTTTGTGTTCATTCTTGTGACTTAAACTAGCGCTTAGAGACTTCGGTGGTAAGCGCTTTATAGTAACGTTTTTATTATTATTATTATTATTATTTATGATTGCCAGACGAAAAGCTTCGGTAGCGGCTTATTAGATTCATCGCTATTCATCATAAATCGATTATATAATATATATATATATATATATATATATATATATAAAAGGATATATATTGCTTAAAGGTATTGACCAGTTTTGGAAACGCCCCCCTCGCCTCTCAAAAAATGTAATGGAGCTCTTATTACCAATCATGTGAAAGAATATGTTTTGACTAATACGTGATGATACAAATTTTGCCGGGAAACCGCTTACTATTATATTTGGTAAATTATCACATTGATCCGACCTGGATAAATATCGCGAATGCACTTCAACATTGAACATTAATTGGGCATATATTGCTGCTTTTATCGAATTAAGGTTGAAGTATTGTCATCTAAACCTCTGAAGGCAATATTTAAACAATATTGAATGGATATTTTGCACCAAAACCCTTGAACCGCAACTTTACCTAAAGTGGTATAGGGCCTACCACCAACTTCATGATGAATTAGGCATTTACTTACAAGGTTCCTTTTCCCCAAATAATACATGTTTTTATTCTTATAAGTAATTATGATAATGCCAAGGGAAAATGTTCTCAACAACGTATTTGAATTTATTTCAAGATTATCCCATTGAATTAATTGCTTGCTCGTTTAGGGCTTAAGCACTATTAGGGTCGAAAGCGATTAGAGGATTCGACAGGATTTCCTTGTAAAAATAAAATCTAAGAAAATGATAACTCTAGCTAATGTTTAAAGATTTTTGCCGAATCAAATTATCATTAAATATCCTATATTATATATATATATATATATATATATATATATATATATATATATATATATATATATATATAGTCCCATATAAAACGGAGGGGGGGGGGGGTGTGCTGGGGCGCACGGCCCCTCCCCGTTTTATGAGCTGTATGATATATAGAGAAACAGAAAGATATAGATATAGATAGAGTCTATATAGAAGAGAGATAGAAAGAGAGAGAGAGAGAGAGAGAGCACCCCCCGGGGGGGGGGGGGGGGTAAACAAAGGGGTATACCTCATCCCCTTCATCACGAAGTATTGAATAATTAATTGTAGGCCTATAGTGGAATCGAATTCCTATTAAAAAATTAGTTCATCACATAAACAGAGCTTGGTCGATGGCTATTAAAAAAAAAATCAGGACCCCGGTGTAGTTGTCCACCTGCACAACCCAATCAGTTATATGGCCTACCTGGAGGAGAGAGCCGAGGGTTGCAGTGATTCAGTTCGCTTTTCGCCAAGGCACAGGTGAGGTCAATGTTAATAAGTTTATCCTCGTCCGCCCCGAGTGACTGAGAAATCAGTACATTAGGAATTAAAAAAAAAACTAGCCTATACTCATTTGTTTGTTTATTTACTACCCATTGTTTCTTTTCTCTTTACTTTGTATAATAATTATCTGCGGACATTGCAGCCCAGCCTTTGAAAGAGCCATATGGCCTCGAGGCTGCTGGCTCCTCCGTATATTCTTTGTATTATTTATATATTTGCTTATATGTATAGTATATTGTTGAATGTAATTTTTAAGAGAAACAGAAATAAAATGAATAGAATAGAATAGAATTGAATTGAATCTTAATTTTTGGAAAGCCACAGTCGAGTATTGTATGTGTTTATAAACTTTTGCCCATACAAACGGGAACCATTTTCGTTTACCTTTTTTCATTAATTGATTTTAAGAATAGTCTATGGTTAATTAAAATAAAATTGAAAACATTACCAGAGCTTTATTGATCAATCAAAGGAGTCGTAGGACTGGAATACAGGTTTGAGATTTGAGAAGATATACATTTTATCCATCAACAATAAACCATAATATGTCACAATCTTTCATGAAAGGAGGTAGAACTCATTTCCCAATTATTATGCCTGGGCAACAGTGCAAATGGTATCTTCGTGATCTTATCTTATTAAATATGAATATGAACCCTCTTTGTTTGCATTTCCGGGAAACGCGGAAATAAGAAGTTTCCATTTTGAACAGGTGATTTTCTTTTTTCTTTTCACTTGCCGCACGCACACACATGCACAGTAGTGGCGCTCAAAGAAATTTGTTGAGAAAGAAAAATAAATATTCACAAAAACATTGGCTGCCTGCCTGACACACACGCATGCGCACAATCACGCCATCTTGCATGTAATGTATGTGTATTATGTAGGGAGGAGTTTAGAATCGTACGGCCATATGATATTTAGGACATGATTTTCGACGTTTCCTTACATCCTAGGAAAAATCAATCTTTTCCACAGTGTAGATGTAAGTATTGACTACCGAATAAGTATATAATCATGAATCTATGAGTACTATGAAGTGGAGTAAAATAATGGTATGTGGGCACTTCCGTAACGAATCTTTCGTAGGAATGAATGTGTTTTGTGTGTGTTCTGCACCGGCTAAATGCCACACTGTTCCGATCTCATTCATGTGCATTGCACAGCAGCGTAGCAGTATTGAGAATTGGCATTGCAGTGGTCAGAGTTCGGCGGTGTTGCGGGCTGCATGCTGTATTGCAGGCCCATTGTTTCATTAGCATGAGTTTTTTTTTTTAAAAACTAGATCTACATCTATTTCTATCTATCAATGATCATTCAAACCTAGTAACAGCCGACAACACGACCTGACTGTCTTTTTTTGGACTGTAGTGAGGGGGCCTTGTTGTGACTGCAGATGGAAATAACCGTCACTTTTAATTTAGCAGTTAATATGGCCTAGAGTCTATGGGGAATTCTTAAATAAATAATAAGACGTAACACTGTATTTATCAACCTTCCCCATACACAGACGGTAACCCTTTTCACATACACAATGGGTGGACTAACTAGCAATTTTTGCCACTATCTGTTGAAAAATGTGTCCCTGTTTTTTTTTGGCGCCTGTTTACAACTGTGACCATACTTTGGACCCCTAACGTGGAGATACCTTACTATAACAGACCAAACATCATAGAAATCTTTCACAATTGTTCAAGTAACAGTCATGTCTTTCTTACCTGTTTTGTGTCAATTTTAAAATATTTTTTGCAGTATTTTTTCCCAAAAACAAAGCGTGCGCTTGCATGAAGTAAGCGACTGTCATCTCAGATCCTCATCAAATTCATGCAAGTAATTCACATTTAATATGAATTGATGATCATCATTACGGTCGCTGACTTCATGCAGGCGTGCACGGCCGAAACCCACCATCTGTATGCACTTGTATTGCATAGCAGTTTGCCGTGAAACCTGTGAGAAAGTGTATACTACATGTCTTCGTTTTTAGGTAAAATACTCCAAAAAAGAAGAAAATTGACACAAAACAAAACTTTTAATCATGACCGTTATTTGAAAAATGTATAAAATCTTGCAAGGGAAATTGCATGGGAAATATACAGTTTTAAATCAACTGTCATGATACACAACCTGTCCGGACATACTGTACAACGTCTGGGTAAAACATTTATGTAAACAACATCAATGTAAAGCTTTGAAATATAAGGTAAGGACTAGCCTTCAGCTAATCTGTACAGTTTTGTGAAGCTATTGATCGTGATTAGATCGGCAATCAAACGCTGACTGCATTGCGCACTACATCCCCACACACTACGCCATACCACATACTTTGGTCTCTGTATGTTATTGGTGGTCAGTGGAGCGGCTGAAGCCAGATGTAGTCTCAGCAGAATGACCATTGATACAAGAGACTGGAGCTATTAGTCTAGGAATGAACTTAAATACTGATTGATCAATCACATAATATCTGTAATAATAACTGAAAGATTGTAAGAAAACAAATCACGGTTTATTTTGGGTAACCTATTGTGAAAAATTAAATAGAAAACTTCTGTCCAATCTGCACATAGAAATTTATTTTGTCCAACGCATTTGTGTCTACATATTATGTTTTCGATACTGCGACCCAACTTTGGTAAAAGAAAGTATACCCCAGCAGACCTTCATTTCTAGAATTTGGTGGAGCTCTATTAATCCCACTCCTTGTTTTGCCAAGGAGCTCAAATTGAGCTCCTCAAATAACTCTCCTGGAAAGAGTGAGGAGCTCAATTTGAAAATTGATGTTGATGAGCAAATGAATAGACACACAAACCTCCCGACACACTCTCGGCAGTAGGAGCAAATTTGAAGAAATTGCCTTTTTAATTGTTGTATAACCAAAGAAATAAGAAGAAGTTGCGTAACGTGCGTTCCCGAAACGAAAATCGTACCTCGCACACACACTCTCACCATACCACGAATGGTCCGTCGTGTGAGGCGAGCGGGCTGGAGTTTTTCAACGAGACCAATGCAGTTTCGGAGTTTTGCAGCGCGCAATTTTACCGGGACTCGAAAGGTTCGTCGTGGGAAGCTGGCCGGCTAGCTTTCTGCCGAAACAACGCTAGGTCGGCTGCTGGCAAAAAGAGAGTAGCTACGATCGAGAATATCGTAGGTGTTCTTAACTTATCAATAAGATAATTCTAAATTCTATTTAAGATGAAATAATAAACTAGAACTACAAACAAACCTCGACAGATCTCTAATGACTATTTGAATGCTTGTTTATTTCTCCATTAGACGATTTGTTGTCTTGATCCTTCGATACATTTGTACGTACGTATATGCGTGCGCCAGCGCCACAGCAGCATCTAGCGATCGCATGATCTGATCGTACGTAGGCCTACGTAAACAAAGGGGCGCATTTTCACGGAAACACATGTGCCTTATTAAAGCACTAAATACGTAGCTAGTAGAGAGCTCCTGCGCGGCAAACTGTTTGTGATTCCGAATCACGAACAGTTTGCCGCGTGAGCTCTCTACTAGCTTCGTATTTAGTGCTTTTATAAGGCGCAAGTGTTTCCGTGAAAATGCGCCCTTTACGAATCATTCGTGTATTTTTTCTGTTCTAATAATTTATAGGCGCATTTTCACAGCAAACACTTGCGCCCTGCCGTCTAGTTTTAGATGAATATGGGCGCAATTGGTGGTTTTATGAGCGCAAATTTGCGCCCTGCGCCCGCTTAATCGAAGGCTTGGCGATGTAAGTGGTTGAAATTTGTGACGAAGTTATAGTGTTCATGAATATTTAGTAGGACATGCATTGTTTCGGAGAATGACTGACAAGTTGCTAGAAGCTTAAAATGGCGATTTTTCCGGTGCGATCGGCCACAAACATGCACCCTAAACGGGATTTTTAACTGAAGGAAAACATTGAAACCAAGGAGCGCTGTAAACAACTCTCCTGATTATTTTTAGGAGCGCTGTAGGAGCGCCGGCGCGATCGCGCTCCTTAGAAATGAAGGTCTGCCCCAGAGATTATTCTTCTTCTAACTTGATTTGAATTTAATTGAATATCAAATAGAAACAAAAATACCAGAAATCTATCTTTAAATACATATTAAGCAAGCCAAGTTAAAAACGAGTACCGGTACATGTAAATTAATTCCTCATTGCTTGTACCTGTCAGCATCCATTATTTCTAATTCTATTCATTTTCATGTTGAGAAAGTTACAGAATATAACACTTTAAAGAAATTAAATTCACGTACTGTAAGGGGCAAACATTGGTTTCACTTCATATTGAACACTGCTCCACTGTTTTTGTGCATTTCAATGCGTTTATGTCACTGTGCATGGGACAGAAGTCACAGAACTTTTATTAGATAATCCTACATTTTATTTGTTTCAAGATATACACTGTATATGTTTGCAGAATGATTAATTGATAATAATATTTATTTCTTCAAATCAAATAATGATTATCATTATACCATACTGTACATGTATGTGCCAAACACTTATTTTAATCAAACATGACAGAATTTTGATGAATGATGTAATAGCAGTAATAAGTGTAATAGCAGTTTAGTGTCGCCTTCTAGTGACATTTTATTTATATATTTTGATGAAGAATGCTCTGAATTACAAAGTGTACATGAGCCGAAAGGGCAAAAATCACTGGAAAATTTGAGTTAATTTATGTTGCTCTACATTTTGCCATTCACGAATAAGAGCAAATTAATTAAAAACTGTAATTGATGTCTTCTAAATAGAGTCTTATAAGTAGAATAAAAGGAATAATCATTATCTTAATGTAGAAATTGGTAATTTTTTGTTCTTCTGTTTCATTTAATGTACGTCATCATCATCATCATCATCATCATCATCATCATCATCAATTAGGGAAGAGTGGAAAATCTAAATAATTGTTGCTAATATGAGGAGGAAAAGCCGATTCATTTAGACCTTTAAAAAACTCTGAACTGAATAAATAGAATTGACAAATGTAACCTGGTATAATCTTGTAGTAGATAATGTTAGTGTGTACAACCATGGTGCACTACAAAAAAATGATACCAGAGCAATGTCTGCAATTCTGCTGTTAGACCAAAGATAAACTTGTCAGAGTGTACTATGCAGAGCTCCTGCGGTTGTTTGTTGCTCATTAAAAACACAGATTGATAAGCTGCACTCGTCCCAGCATGTGGTTTTGATTCGAACTTCTTTATCAGCTGATAGTTCATGTTAATTGGATCCAATCCCAGTGAGTGAGGTACATAGTAGGTAAACCATACATACTTAAACAGACAGGGAGTATTCTAACTGGATGAGTACAAAGTTCACAGGAGATGAGATGGGTTTGTGATTGGTGATAAATGTATTGTCTTATTGAAGCCTACATAATGTAAATGTACATGTACCCAGACATTGTGTGTCCAGACAGGTTGTGTACCTGGAGTTGATTTAAATCAGCCAATTTGAAGAAGTTTACAAGCAGAATTTCATAAATCTACAGAGAGTTATGTTGGACATTATTATAAAGGATAAATATTCATGATGGTTTTTGCTATTTGATTACTATTTTACTTTATGTTTGTTATTTACGGACACCCAACCCCCCATCATGCATGTAGGCCTACATTTTAGCCTACATGAAATTGAACCAGGGCATGTGAGTTTAAATGGATTCCGCATCTAAGAGGGCCCTTTGAAGCAGTCCGTTGCACCGAGAGTCTTTTTTCCCCCTATCATAATCCCCTTAATCCCCCACCCGGACCGCACAGCTCGTAAATCTCACTCCCGAAACTGAGTGACATAGGGCTCGCGAAATGCATTGTTGGAAATACACATCGGCTGCTATCGACAAAAATGGCGGCGTACAGTAGGGTAGAGTATTTGGTAGGCGACGATTTAGACTTTCTGACTGATTTTGAGGAAGATTTGATTTTTGAGCCTGGTGTATGCCTATGGGAAATTGGAGACCAATACAAGTTATGCACGTGTCAACGGAAAATCTTATTCGTCTCTCTGCAGCGAACCAGAATCACCTCCCTGGTTAAATGGTTTCATCGTGAATGCGTGGGCCGCTCCATGTAAATAGACCTAGGCAGCATTTGAATACATGAATAGTCAATACACTCACAACATACAGTACAAATGCACATAATCATCCCGATGCGGGTTGATCGGCAAGTTTGACAGTAGACTCACAATTTTAATTTTTAAATTATTCTTTCTAACATCAGAAAGTTGAACAAATTGTATTTTAATGCTCTTTAGGTGTCATCAATCGTCACTATAGTACTGCCTTTGAATGAAATCAGTTGAGTTTTGTACAGTGGTGTTTGAAATGTTTAGAATCAATAGCACAACTTTGAATACACGGCCAGGGTAGTAATGCAGCTATGTGTGTTTCCACCAACAACATCCAGCATGTACAGCCCAGCGAGCACGGCGGCTTTCGCGTCGCCGGCCCGTACTCGGGGTGAAAAGTGGTGATGAATTGACAACTTCTAACCCTCATTAAACCAAATGCGCAAATTTACAACACAGTTTCATTTAGTTATTTTAAGAGATAAACTTATGGACTACCTTCCTAGCTATGTAAAAATTTCGGAAACTTTCGGAAAATGTCAATAATTATAAGAGAACGTGATGATGATGAGAAATTTGCATTCACTCTAACTCACGATTTCCTTGGTCGATTTCGCTGGTTCAGATGGCTACGTCTTCAGAAGAGTTATCCGAGCACAGCGAAAGCATTTGATAACCAATAGAAGGTTGTCTTGTGCCATAAGTTGTCGATTTTGTATTTTTGTCTGTTATAGCTATATACATCTTCAATGAGTATGACGTCATTTTCTCGGTGACTCGCATGGCTTCAAAGCCTTTTTTTTACGACCAAGTGTTTGGAGAGCTTAGGGAAGCAGGCCGCGTTGCGTAACACTTCGTAACATTTGGATCGCCAGAGGGCATCTGTGGTCTGATAAGGGCGGCTGTTGATGGATTTGATGGCTGAAGAGGGTTAAATTGTCTTGTTGTTAAGCCAAGTTAATCTTGAATATCTTTCCCTCGGGAAATTCTTTCGAGACGGAATCTCCATTTAAAGTCTCACCTCCCTGCATGAACCATGCATGATCTTTTATGTAGGGATGTGCTGCTAGGTTTGGCATGTGTACTGTACATGTGCTAATGTAAGACTCTTGCTTTGACAATACAATTTCAATAATTTAGGTTAGGGAATATGGTGATTTACTCACTGATACGATTTAGTTTTATAATGACAAAAAGATTTTGACCTTTGATCTGGTCAAACGATTGAATTAATAGAGCAATTATTATCAAAGATAAGGTCCAAGTGGGGTCGTTATTGGCAGTGCGTCACAGTTCGTCTATACTATTATTTTAACATGCATGAATCTACTGCTAGGACATTAGGCCATTTAAAAAAATATACATGTTTAGCGTCCCCTCCCGCCTCCTTTTGGGGGGGGGGGCGCCTCCTATTTTTTTTTTTTGTTGATATTTTTTAAAAGAAAAAAAAGACATAAAAACACCCCTAAAATGGATCTATTTTCTGATTTAAAAAAAAAAAAATAGCCCGACTGTCAGGGAAAATGTACCGAGTGGCCATTTTGAGCGGCCATTTTGAAAGAAAAAAAAGAAGAAAAAAAGGGCCTCCTCCTTTCCTATCGAAAAAACAGGACGCTAAACATGTTTTTTTATTCGGCCTTAGTCTGCAAGCACAGACTCTAATTTGACACTTTACCACAATTCCTGAAGTGTTGAGCAAAGCCTAGCTCTGTCGTTTTCTTGCTGCATCTGGAGTGGCTAAAGTACAGAGCCTACTTTAGTCTCATATTGCAGTCGCTGTTTGACAGTGGTTTGTGCCTGCGAACGACTTGGACGTAGCTCTGGGGGAAATTGCTCCAGGCTTTATTTCGACAAAAATACAGGGTTAAATTTAAGAATGGCAGGGGAATTTAGACTTGGTAATGAGGATTAATGCCTTACCAAAGGGCACTAGCGCATCAACTTGGTTTGGAACCTGCATGACTGATTTAAATCATTAAAAAAAAAGATTTTTTAAACATGTATTTTTGTTTTGTTTTGTCATTGGATTAAATCAATTTATATTTCTAATTCCAAGCATGGTTTAACAAACTTTGCTATTTGTGTTTTGTAATCATAATCTGTAAATGTACAGTGTACATGGTACGTGGAATTTATGGTCCTTACATTGGGACCATACATGTGCAAATAGAGAGATGGGAAACCAGAGTGTCGGCACGGGGGTCCTTCAAGCGTGGTGGTGGCGTTGGAGTATTTGCGCTTCACAGCAGCCGAAATGCAGACCAATTGATGAGTACGATGTTGAGTGCTATGTTGAGTCATAGAGTCATATTTAATCAAACTTCACTCAACCACATTTGAGGGACAGCTCGGGTGTAAAAGATTCTCCCTTTAGCAGTCCCATACAATTAGTCTTGATGGACAGGCTTTAGCATGAATTTATGTTTCCAATTCAACATCATTTACTTGTAATTTTTCCTCTTTGTGATGAGCTATGTCTTTTTAAGGAGAGTTATGAAGGCCCAACATGTATCTGTACCCCCCCCCCAAAAAAAAAGAAATTGCAAAAAAAAATTGCAAAAACAGCAACAAAAAAAATCTCCCCCCCCCCATCCCCCAAAACAACCCCCTCCCTCCCCCCAAAAAATCATAGAGGTGGTGAGAACAAGTCGCCCATTTTTTCCACAGGCACATCCATTGGGGGAGATTCCCCTGAATAGTTTGTAATAGTGGGACATGACAAGAATACATGTTTTCTTCATGCTGATAGATACAAGGCCTTATTGATTTTTAGGGCAGTGTCAAGTGTTGACTGTGGTCGACCACAGACTTTGTAGTTTGCACCAACCATGGATCATAATTTGATTATAGTATGGAATTTAGTACGCCCATCAAAAATGTAAAGTTTACACACCATTGCCTCTGTTCTTGCTTCTATATCTACATAAGTACTGTATTCAAGAGACTCTGTTCAACCTAAATGAATTTAAAGTGTTGGTCAGGTGGGGGAACCTTTATAGGGAGAAGAAACCAAATAGCAAAATGTGTCACAATGTACAATGTGCATGTACCTGTGGCCTTCATTGTAGTTCCATGTTTACATGTTCATTAATGCATGGAACATTTTAAAGTTTTTATTTGAACATGCGTTTTTTAGATATCCCATGTTTACATTGTGCATGTAGTGTTGATTTTTGTAAAACAGTTAAATATTTCTTATCTTGCCTTAAAACTGGTCTAAATCTCAAAGTTTTAGATGATGTAAGCTTCCATTCAAGCTGATAAAATATAAAAACATTGGTAAAGAATAATATTAATATTAATATTAATAATATTTGGAAGAGCTAAACTAGAACAAAAGTGAGCTGAGAGTGATAGCTCTTCTTTGCAGTTCTGACCGACAGCCTTTTTCTTTATCTCTTGTAAGGTACTTTTGTTTTTAAAAAAATGAAGATTATTGATTTGGTCCACATCGAGTTTATGCATTTTCAAAAATTCTATCTCCATCTGTTTATGTAAATGTATTTCCCTTTTCAAAAACATGTTGACAAAACACATGCTCTGGTGAGCATCACAACTCCCCATCTAAAATGCTTTCTAATGTTGTAAACAAATGTTTTCATGGAACTTTAAACTGTATTTTTCTTTGCAGATAGTCTAGAAGTCATCGGTGAGAGCTAGGAAGGGGGAAAGCTGACATCCAAAACAGACCATCATCGACTTCTAAACCTGGCCACGCCCTGAGGCTGGAGAGAGACAGAGACAGAGAGAGAGATACCGTTTGGTCAGGCAGAGTGGAAATACCAAGCGTTCTATGCCAAGCTGCTGATGTGTTTGTGTGACCACTCGGACAACCTCACGTCCAGAATTCCTGGGGTTGCAGCAAAGTGTCTGCTAGGCTCGTTGTGCTAATCGGCTTTGGATTGAGCAACAGTCGTTCATCAATCACGTGGGCGGCACAACGCCAAGGCCGTTCTATTATTGAGTGGCCTTTTTTCATTAAGCGTATCATTTCAAATTCATGTTTACGAATGTGATTCTTATAGATTCTTTAGATACCCAAATGCACTTATTCACTGAAATGATTGAAAATGGCAGGAGAAAGCTCAATAGAGACCTCTCAAATATAGCCAGTTTTCTCCAGTAAAACAAAAACAAATTTTTATCCTACTCGCGGTCCCTTGATAGGAACGAGGAAGTCACATTCTTCCAGGAAAACACTTGAGCACATTTTACAAACTCCTTGTTGCACATCTTGAGCACAGTTTACAAACACCGTGCAGTTCTGTCTGATGACACTCCTCTGGCACACCCTGGACCTGTTTCTTGTAGGGGTGCACACCGCGTCCCTATCCTTCGTTCGATGAGTTCGTTCGTCTCGCTTCATCATCTTCCGCCCGAACAGCGCCCCCAGAAGCGACCGCAGCAACCATGCCTTTGCCAACGCGTGTTGCGCAGATCAAGGACCTGGAGGTCCAAAGACTCTTTTCCGATGAAGACCCCGAGAAGCTCTTTACGGGCATGACAGAGATCGGGCATGGCAGCTTTGGTGCCGTCTACCATGTAAGTATGACCCTCAGGACTGTGCAGTGGTAGTGTTTCGCTTGTATACTCTGGTGTCAATTGCTCCGTGGTCACTTTTCCTCAGTAGGTGAATTCTCAACTTCAGGCTTGGATCCAATGAAATACCAATCCTTAACCCGACAATAAATCTAACCATAAGTCTGACCTACTATCTAATTCCAATCTCTAGTTCTTAACCTTATATCTTTGATGCACTACAGCATGAAGCAATTATCACCAATGCAAATGTTGGATCACTGGATTTTCAGTGTCTGTCAGTATTGTGTATACATGTCAGTATCCTACAGATGTATGTTAAAAATGTTGCCAGGGCCACACACTAAACTAAAGGGGAAGTCCAACCTGATATTAAGTTGGTTTTTATTAGAAGCAGTAAAATGAGAGGAAGAGGTCAGTGAAAGTTTGAGACCAGTTGGGCTCATACAGTATGTATTTTTCATATTGTTGATTAATAGTTAAAAACTTAAAATGCTTGGGAAAAAAAACCAAGTAGACAATTTCAAAGCAAAAATGGTCAGTGTTTACTGTTTTAAAGAAAGATATTTTTTTTTTCTATAATTTATTTACATGGTCTTGGGCGAAAAGCCTGCCCCAAATCATTTGCAACTTTTTTAGTGAAATTTTAACTATGTGTTTGATACTGTAGTGATTTTCTACATTTTGTAAATGTTTAGAACATTGGGGATGATTTTTAAAAATCTTTTATTACTTTAAGAATCATTAAAAAAATGGTACCTGTCTGGAACCACAGGCATGTTTTTATGAATGGTTGTATGTATCATGTACATTCGACACTTCATCCCATATTGCCAGCCAGCCAGCCAGCCCGGCCGGCCCTGTGAGACTTTTGAGTGTAATGCCCTATGCCCTTTCCCGACTGTCCTTCCCTCTTAGCATGGCAGACTGGAAGTGTTTTGCCCTCCACTGTTATCGTTGGGCTATTGACATTGCAATGTTGTGAAAATTGGGTCGAAGATAAAGGTCATTTTGGTTGGGGCGTCAGTCACGACACAAAGAGTACCAGGACATCTCACATCCAGATGTATCAGGCTGCATTGTTGTATTGTTTTGAGTTGTAACATTGAGACTGTCTGAATACTTCCACACTGCTTTCCTTTTTCCTCTATGATCAGATAATAGAAGTAGTAGGTCCACCACAATAATATTAGCATATCATAGGCCAAAGTTCAGCAACGGTTGAAACCCTTGTCCCTGTGTACAAATAACATTAAAAAGGTAAGAATATGGCTAGTGTACAGGCACTAACTTTACCTTTATCTTCAAATATTACAAAGATTATCTGAAAAATACATCAATTGTTTTAGGTTGACTTAGGTTTAATACAAACATGTACATGTACCATAATTGTTATAAATGCACTAAATGTGTCACGGCACCTCTGTAGTTTTTTCAGCATCGCGATATGCTTTGGGGCGATACTTGGCAAAAACTGAAAATGTTGGTTGCCATTTTAGGATTTCAAATTTGACTGATATTGATTTTATGATAGCCTGGGCTGAAATGTTGGTGGCCCAGGTTACAAATAAAGTACAAGGATTTTTACATAATTTCTTTTCTTCAGTTTGTATTTGTCACCAAAAAAAAAATCAAATATTTTCTTACCAGTGTTGTAGAGATGGATATGTACATGTACATGGTGTTGATCACATTCCTTGTATTTGAAAGCCCGATCCCAAACAAAGCACCATATTTATATCAAGTACCTGTGTAATGTACTTTCACATGTATTGTACGTTGCTTTTTTAAATTTCATTGATAAAATTCAATAGCAAAAAGAAAATAAGAAAGGAACAGAAAATGAAGGGGAAAAAAAAGAAATATACTGTTTAGGCCTACAATATACATATTCTATCTTGTTCAAAATAACAATTCCTGGACAAAGAGTAAAATACATGGAAGTAGGTAATACAATATTAAAGAGCATCATGTTCACAATGTCTTCTGTCCCACGGATATCAAAACTCCTGCATAATTCATAATACCAGGCTGTGTTAGATACATGTATGATGCAAGTGACATTTGGCATAACGTGAAGCCAGCCATGCATTTTAGTGCACATTCCAGGCATTGTGCTGCGACGGACGTCGTAGCTGGAGAGAAAGATTGTGTAGGACTTCAGTACTTAGCTCTGTGTGCATGGTTTGGCCACATAGTCTCTCTCCCTGCTATGGCTTCCTGTAGGTAGCGTGTAGAGATCCATTTTCAAGACAGAACATGTATTGTTTGTTTTGAAAACACACATGATTAAAATGATGATGATAATGATAAATAGAAGTAGTAGTAGTAGTAGTACATGTAGTAGGGACAATGATGATAATGATAATATGAAATATTAATATTGTTAATTATAAAAATGATAATTAAAGTAATATTGATTATAAAAATAATGACAATGATGTTGATAATAATGATAATGATAATAATGATAATGATAATGATAATGATAATGATGATGATAATGATAATGATAATGATAATGATAATGATAATGATAATAATAATGATAATGACAATTATTATAATCATGATGATAATGGTTGATAATATTGATGATGATAATGATGATAATTATGATAATTATAGTCTGAAAGACCAGCTCGTCGTTCATAGTTTGATCAAATTAAAGGATGTTTTTGAGACATTTAGCCTTGTATTTGATCTTGTTTGACTGAATACAGGGCTTAAAAAGCTTGGTTTAGAAGTTAGCTCTGACTTAGACCTCTGTCTAACTTCCTTTTCTATACTCGACTTTCGATGGAGCCATGTACACTACATGTACTTGTAAGTGTAGTTTCAGGTTGAATTTCATAGAATTTTGTAGAATTTGATAGAATTAGCCTATGTTACATACACGTACATGTAGTTATTGATGTTTATTGATTACAAGCCCACATCACCAAAAATTATTCTATCAGAAATGATTATTTGTTCATACTACTAATGCAAAGGGAACTTTGGGCTGATTTCCTTTGTTTAAATCGAGCTTAGCCCTTTACCAGCTTCAGTTGACTGAAAAAAGGAATGGAATTGCCACTGTAAACTTTTGTCACAGTGAACATGTATATGTAAATTACAAACAAAGTGGTAGTCCAGGGTTTCTATCCATGGCAATTAAAAAGTAGGACTGAACTAGGACCAAAATTGGACCCATTGTCTCCCCCTCCCCTCCAACCCAACCCAGGGTCTAAATATCAATCAGAATATGGACTACTGGTAGTGTGTTTGAAGGAAAGACTAATCCTGCAATATGTGCCTCATTTCAGGCACACTCCTGTGTCAGAGCTGTTATTGTTCCCGAGATCAAGTTGAATGCACTCTAACAATGTCTTGAATTTTTTTCTCTCTCTCTCCCTCCCCCTATACAGTATATCCCATTATCTCCTCAACACTGAAAACCTCCCTTGTTCTTCCCCTCCATTTTACCCCATTTGAAATCAACACTCATTGTTGTGTATATAATATGAGCCCCTTGGCTGGGGCCTGTTGTATGTCAGTGATGGTGTGCTTTCGTATCTCTGCATTTGTCTGCCACATGCACTTGTGATAACGTGTGATATCAGATGCAAGCGGTGTATTTTGATACAAGTTATCTATCCGATCCAGAAATATTGAATGTCATGCACGTAATGCATTTCCTCAAAGTGTGTGTTGCCAGTACAAGGCAAATAGAATTTGAGAATGTTTACACCATCTCATATTATAGCCAAACATAATTCAGTAAATACGATACAATAAAGGCATTCCTTTGGGAAATTTAATCCTTTTTCTAAAATATGAATCTACACACTGTTCTTGTATGCTCTAATTATTATGTTCTTGCAATTATTTGAATTGTATTTTTGTAAGTCACAATTTGTACAAAGAAATTGTTTTCCAAAACTTGGGAAGAGTTGCTCACAAAACGAATCAGATTATAGCATAAAATGATTTCTGTAGCAAACAGACAAGGGGGGGGGGGGCAGTGATTCACAAACTTTCTCTCAATTCAAAATTTATTTCATGTGAGCACTTAAAGCACAAGTCCACTCCAAAAATAACTTACTTTTAATAGAACCAGAAAAATCAGACAAACCAATCAAAAAAAGTTTGAGCAAAATCGGATAACTAATAAGAAAGTTATGAATTTGTAATAACATGAAAAACTTTGAAAATCACTACACTAAATTGGCAACTCACTCATGAGTCTGTGACGTATGGTCCTCACTAACCACTAATTATTTTCTTTATATTGATAAGATAAATTTCCTATTTTCACTCTAAGAATCTTATTTCTTCACACCAGCATCCAAGTTAGATTGTTAGTGTGTTTGTGTGGATGCACAAATAAAGAGTAATTTTTGTCCAGTTAAATCATGAAAAAATTGAATTTTGATAGACTATTTATATAAAAATCAATAAATATAAAACACAATATTCAGAAAATAGTATCAATTCTTCAAAATTCATGAAAGTTTTTTTGAAATTTCATGCACGCAATATGATACAAATCATATAACCTGGGCAAAGGCATGGGGAAACCAAGTTTTAGGGGATAACAAGGGAAATTTATGGTTTAAACTATATAAAGCAATTGATAAGTTATGAGGACATGACGTCACAAACTGACAACCATCTTGGCAATTTGTGTTGTGATTCTCATTGTTCCATAGTTTTACATACTTTACAAAAAAAATCATAACTTTCTTATTAGTTATCCGATTTTGCTCAATTTTTTTTGATTGGTTTGTATGATTTTTCTGCTTTTATTGAAAGTAAGTTATTTTTCGAGTGGACTTGTCCATTAAGTGATAGGAGAATTGTTCACTTCTGAATACCAGAAAAGGCACCAAAAAAAAAAGGGGTTAAAATTGAAAGTTGCAATTTGTTCATTGTTTTATGTCAAAATTAGGATTACTGTAAAACCAGAATCTTTACTGACATTAAACTCCCATGCATATTTGTTGTAAAAATGTTTAAATAATGTAGTACATATAAATTCATGTCCTTAATGATATGTCTCTTTCCATTTTGTCTGCAGGCAACGAACACGATAACAGGAGAAGTAGTGGCAATCAAGAAAATGTTATATAATGGAAAATCATCAACAGAGGTAAGCTACAGCTCACTTAAGCTTTCATTGAAATAATTGAATCAAATCTTGCTTATTTTTGAAGTGTCAGGCACATTTATTGCATGGTATTTGGGAATAGCAGTACTTATACAGAATGGAGAATATCCATTGATGTACATACATAGTACATGTATTTATGCACAATCATCAACATTGTGTTTAATTTGAAAGTATTAAATATACTGTAAAAGGAATATAAGTACATGCTGAGGAACTGAATAATTTGCTAATGTATCTGAAAATATTCTATTAGCCTATGATGTATAATATTCTTAAAACCTAATTTTGTTTTGATGCTTCTATCTCACTATTTAATATGTGCCTACACAAACAATTCATTTAACAGTCTCTTGGACTCAGACATCGTGATTACACACAAACATGTACATGTAGCTTAATATTGGAGCTATAAAAAGACAATCACAACTCTTTCCTTATCTCTGGGTCTCGCCAATAAAAACAGACACAGACCAGTGATAAGAATGTAATTCTGTACATGTAGGCCCTCTGCTACATGAAGTGCAAGTGCAAATGCATTAAAATGCATAACTTGACCTTGTCATTGTGTGTTATTGGCCTAGCATTCCCAATCCTTTGTGTACATACACATGCATGTGCTTACGTACTGCAGCGGATATAATACCACAGCATGTACTACTTACTACACACAGAGATAGAGGCGGAGCGGATGGGCTCAGTGATTGTGTGTAGGTCTGGTGCAGAAAGAAAAAAAAGCAATGCTTCGCTCTAGTCTAGTAGCAAGTCAATATTAACCATAGAAAACAATAAAATATTTTCTAGTTATTAGACTAAACTGGATGTTGATATAAATATTTATCCTGTCTCACAAGACTCACATCCATCATTCATGAAGGAACTCAATGATAGTGTGAGTTAGGATTTGTGCATGGTTGCATATCTGCATTAGGAATGCATGTATTTGTCCCCTAAAATCGTCTATACGCGGTATTGAAACAAGACTATGTGCACAGTTAATGCATAATTGGCCAATGAACCAAGAAAATTTCAGAGAATTTGAGAATTCCTAAATTTGAGTACCTTTGTAGGGCTGCGCTGCATATGCCATACTGTTTAACATACGTTTGAATGCATTGTGTGTCTTGAACACTGGATTTATATGTGATATACATGTATATATATATATATATGTTCATGTATATCTATATTTTCTGTTCCCCCCCCCCCCCCCCCCCTGTGGTTAGAATTGGGGGGGGGGGGGTGAAATTTGTATTTCATTTTGTTTTCACATACAGTACATGTACATATATGTAGACATGTAAATACTTAATTTGTTACTTTCACAATGCATTTTTTTGAAAATGGTTATTAATTAGGTGCATTTGTGATTTAATATGATGGGTTTTTGCTTACCGGTAAATGTAAATAAACAACAACTATGCAATTTTATTTTAGGTACACCTGTACATGTGTTGTACTTTCAATTTAATAACAAGAAATGAATTGATGAATGTTGCAGTTTTCTTTTTAGATACTCGTGATGGAACTAAGAACAATAATAAATTAAATAAAACAATAGTAACATTTTGACTTTCTGCAAGCATCAATCATGAAAATAGAATTATTTAAAATCTGACAAACATTGTATTGAGCATTTTTTTGTGTAACTTGTATTGCTACATTAGTACATACATCAGAGTCAGAGATGTTGAAAGGTGAAAGTGAAAGCGCCTGAAGTAATGAGCATCCATTTGTCTGTAGTACCTGAGGCTGAAGAGCCGTTAAAGCTTTTAGTCAGGTGTGAAGTAGTATCGCCCCCTCCAGTCCATCTCACTGTCAACTCCATTATTCATCCACAGTTGCACAAACCAAATTAACCCTATGCATCCATACCAAACGCCGGCCGATTTCTTTTCATTTCTTTATTGCACTAAAGGCAAGGTACAGACGTATTTGCTCAGTCCCTTTTCTCTCTCCCAAGCCTGGCAAACATTGTTTGGAATACCAATTGCTGGTTATTGGACGAGATTTAGACCCAGTCAGTGGTAATTAAATTATGCAATCCAAATTGGTTTATTGAAGGATATGATTAGCATATTAAAGGTGGGTATGGCATTGACTATTGATGCACTCCGATGGGGGATGAATCTCTCCCTCCTCTCTTTCTATCACTCTCTCCTCACTGTAATTAGCATGCCCTGTTTTAAACTGCATGAGATCTACATGTACATGTAGATGAGAGTTCTTTTATTCTATTTTATCTCTTTATTCATTCACTTCTGTCTTCTTTCTACATGCATACATATGCAAATGTTACCAGAAATCGTAAATAAAGCACAGAGTAAGAATCAATTCATTTATGATTTTCGTAGCATTACGGCACTTAATGGAAGGGGGGGGGGGGGGTATATTTGTTCCACACGGTCCTACAACATGAACATTAGAGAAGGGATTGAGGCATCAAGGGCTATTTTCTAAACATCATTATATGCTGCAGTTAATGGCCATCCCACTAAAATATGTTTTTATTCTAGCATGCTTTTCTATGAGAATATAAAAGATTTTCATTAAGTTACCGGAAAATATAATTATGATGGCTTTGTGAATAAAATGTTTTTGTTTTCTTTGTGCAGAAATGGCAAGATATCATCAAGGAAGTGCGGTTCATTCACAGAGTACGCAACGCAAACTGTATAGAATTCAAGGGATGCTATCTCAGAGAACACACAGCTTGGGTAAGTGTAACATTCCTTCCTTCCTTCCTTCACCCTTGAAGAGAAAGTGGAGTGTTGTGAAAGGACCTGTCTGGACCCTGTCTGGGCCCTGGAAGCTTTAATGAGGAACTTTGATTACATGTACTTGCATGTACAGTATAATCTGAGAATTAATTTGTACTGTGAGGTTTGGAAATAATCAAAATAAACATTAATTAACCCAGTCTTGCAGAACAGGACATGCGCTGCATATATTGGACTATATACACATGTGGCATGAGAGTTGGTCCAAACTTTTGATCTATTGTCATTTTTCAGATATGACGGCACAAAAAGAGTAATTATTTTCAGGGGACATTTCTACTATGATATTCTTACAAGCTGACATGAAAAGAATGACAAAGCTCACACATTATTTTCATCTTTTCCAGAAATCAACCAACCCTCTCTTTAACCAGAAGTAAACAAATAAAATATCTTTATCTATATGTATTGTAGCAGGTACATTGTATAAATGCAGTGTTTTTTTTCATTGATTTCTTCTTCACTACGAAACACAAATTGTACATGCACGTTGTACCTGCAAATACTCAAAACTCAGCTGCATTTCGGGTTGTATTCTGAATTTATCAGCTCGCCACGTGTGATTTAGAGTGCAAAAAACCTCCTGTGGTTCTGGAATAGATGGGCTATCCTTGAACTTAATTCCCAATTAAACAATCCACCCTTCCTGGTTTATTGGCTGGCAGATCCAACTTGGCTGGCATGTACATGTACACAAAGTAATAAATGTTTGTGTCTGTACAGCTAGTCGTTATCATTCAAAGTGAAGATCAAGTTCTTGTAAAGGGGAAAATAAATTTGTGAGATTTCTCATTTTATCTCAGTTTGTATGATAATAGTAGAGAAATGTCCCCTGAAAATGATTGAAAAGAAATAGCTAAAAAAGTTATGGAGAAAAAAAATTGGACCAAACATTTATGCCAAATGTGTGTGTACAGTGTACAGTTGTAGTCCCATATACCCATCTCTATGTGCAAAGCATTTGGCTTTCAGCATTTTGATTCTGAAACCTTACAGTATACATCAATTCTATTGTGAAACATGTACATAAAATTCAAGCTTTCCCAATTGGTTCTAAACAGTTTCTTTGGCGATGTAATAATGTGACCATTACCCAACTTTATCTTTAAATTTAAATTCTCTTGTTCAAAATGAGCTACATTGTACATGTACAGTATATCAACATATGTGTCGGCAGATATGCTGATTTTAAGAGCCAAAATTATTAATTGATGTTTCAGATTACACATGGTTGCCCTTTAAATATCTGTATTTCATGGGAAACTTTTAATTACAGTGTTTGTCTCTTGTTTGTCATATTTGGCCTCATTCAGTATGTGACTGACTTGTTAATTGGATGCCGGCCCAAATTCGACACAATGCTTGAAAAACAACATTGTTTTTTATTAGTTCACCAAGAAGCTTAAATGACGTAGTTATGTACAGGTTCATGCACAACACAAAAAGCCCTACAATTGAATGTCTTGTAGAAGAACTTCAGTTGTTCTTTTATAGAATATTTGAAATGTCACACTCCAGAATCAAACCTTGACACTGTTTAAGAGTACATGTACATGTACGTACATGTATCCAATACTTTGGACTAGAAATTAACATGTTCATTTGTCCAGGAAAAGCATTTGGCATGTTTCAGGCGAAAAATAGGTGTTAATAGAAAAGAGATGGATTTCGTTGTGATGACACTTCTTGATAACATTTCCCAGTAACCCATATCTATGTAAACTATATGTACTTGTATAACATGCAGTGTGCCTTATACAATCAACATTTATTTACAAGTCAAAATCTCATGGTCAACCCTTTATTTTTTTGACATACAGTGTACACACTGTGAAAGGTACACTGGCCAAATAGAATTTATGGTTAATACAGTACTTTAACAAGGTTATTTTCAAAACTGGTTCACCTCTCAATTGGTCTTGGCCTTCATTATGTTGACTTTTATTCAGGAATTAAAATAATATCTGACATTGATTTTGAAAAGTTGTCGGGCCAGGCCAGGGTGATAGTGTTTCATCGTTTATTTTTTCTGCTGGTATTATACAGGATATGTGAGATTTCATAAAATACGTTTCAACTTGTGGGTTCAAGAATAAGCTCCATCTCAGGCCAAATCAAATTTGTTCTTCAACCCACCTTAATTTGTTTAAGTTTTTCTTCAAAATAAAACAAACAAGAATCTTAGGACATCTAGAAAATTGGGTTAATAAATATCATTGGTATTTCAGCTTGTTTTGAGCCTCTGTAGAATGTAGTTTTTATTAAAATTGACTCAATAGCATTTGTTTTACAGAAAATATTAAAAATAAAAATAACATGGAAACCCCTCATTTTTGAAAGAAACTAGGAATTCAATTTAATTGGGCTTATGGTTGGAAAGCACATATGGGCAACCGTATAAATGAAATAATACTAAATTTATTCTTGATAAAAGAAAAAAAATAAAAGAAAATTGATGAAATTGGCCAGCTCCTGGTCATTATAATAATGTTTTCTTTTTCTTTTTTCCCTCTTTGTATGTTAAAATATTGAATAGTTGCTTCAATCTGAAACACTGGCAATAAAATAAATTGTTTTTATGAGATTACTGAGCACTTGAAGTAACCACAATTGAGGTCATTCCTATAAAACACAATGTTCATTAAAGGTACAGTGCATGTGTATACATGTATGTAGGGAGGTTTTTAATGAGACTACTTCTTACACATTCACATTTACATGTATTTCCCTGAATAATGTGAGCTGCTTCTAAGCTTGGATAAATCGGTGGTTGACATAAGCCTGGTTCATAAAGTCAATGAGGAAATGACTTCTAGAAATGTGCAATCCTGGATTTCATACATACATACGTACAATGTGTACACCTGTAAGGCTGTTGATAGCAGCGTAATAGTTGTGAAATGGCTCAACCAGTCAATGACAATAGTTGTCATTGAGTAAGAAAGGAACGGTGTCCTCACCATAGGATTATGGTAGATTATGACTATATTTAGGTCTATCATTGCTATTGAATTTCATTGTGTCTTGTGATGTCATAAATAATGCACATACATGTACGGGTAGCTGTATGTAGGTCTACAGGTTTTTAAATGTGTCTGTTCATAAACAGGACAATTGTTGTGTGCAGTGCGTACATACAGTACAAACAATGTATACTGTACATGTACCTGTATACATGTACATGTACAAGCTATTTGAAAAAAAATACCCCTGTGTGAACTTTTTGTTTAAGGTCTGTCAAAGCAATTGTATTTTTTGGGTGTCATGTGATGATGTCATTAATGCATTATCATAACAAAATATGTACATGTATACACCCTGTATGTACATACATTGTAGGTCTGTGTATTCAAATACTGTATGTCAGTTCATAAACAATGTTTATTTTGTGCGCTGTACCATGATAAAATTTCACCCCCTCTGGGATCTCTTCATATCCCCCTAAAAGGGGAAAATCAATATCTACAAAGAAAATAGTTATGTTTTGATCGTACTTCTCTTTTTAGGCTTCTGAGATTTAGAGTCACAAAATACCATTCTGAAGGAAAATAGTTGAGCATTATTCAAGCATATCATGATCAGGGACATGGATTAGCCCTCATGTACATACGGTACATGTACATGTACATTGATTCCGTACCACAATCATTTTCTTATCTTTTCTCTCGACAATGAAATCAAGTGAGTTATCATTTTTGTATCTGTACCTGTACACTGTACATGCATGTATCCCTTACAATGCAGCTAGGTGGTATGCATGTAAAGACCTTGTCAAATACATTTATCCACCATTACCGGCATTAATCACAATACATTCAGCACAAACCAGACAGTTTACAAGCGGACATGGTGTTGATGGGGTGAAGTCCTGGCTATTATTTACCGGTTAAAAGTCAGTAACTGTTATAGGATATCCTTCTTTCCTGTACATCTGCAAACCTACTCAAGCCCAACGTCCTCTAACGCTATCTCCATTCAGACCACGCCCTGCTTCCTCCTTTCTAAATATTGTCCTGACGAAAGTCGAGAGGAAATTTACATGTTGTACATGTACCTGTAATGCCTCATGTAGTGTGTCAAATAAATGTGACAGAAACAAGGAAGAAATACATGTACATATCCCCATGATTGACAGAAACATCAGTGGTATGCAGGACTTGCACATGTTTAGTACGTCTTACCCTTCTTTCAGACAAGGACATTTTTTTTTAATACATGTCTATAGTCTGTTTCATATCGTCCCTATTATCACGAAATGACGGTAGTGAGGAAAATCGCATACAATTTGCGTGCGGATTTCCTCACTCCCGTCACTTCGTGAAAACAGGAACGATATATGTCATTATATTTTGTGTGTGCAAATTTTACATTGTCTAAACATTACCAACAAAATTTAGCGTAACAAAACATATTCACTGTAGCTTTTGTGGTAGATTTTGCCATATATGCCCTCATGGTGACCATAACGGTAGGAATACTCCCCAGGGAGTGGAAATGGTGCACATTGTGTGGGAATGAGTCAAATGACCGGAGATTTGAGCATCATTTTGAATGAAAGTATGAAATACAGAAGCAAAGTAAACTTGTCTAGAGTTTAGTCCTCTTCTTTGTCATCTGTTCAGAGCCAGAGGGATATTTACTATGTGTTAAATATTTGAGTTTACAGGTAATGCTCTTCTGGCTCCACACAGACAGTGTCTTCTCACCTTCAAAAAAAATAAATTATATATTTGTTATTTCTTGTCTGTTTTAGCTTGCCATGGAGTATTGTCTTGGATCCGCGTCAGATGTTTTAGATGGTAAGTATCAATAGTACCAAAATTCATTCAGTTTTTAAACTTTTCCATTTTAAACCATTGAAAATTGCTATTATACTAGGCAAAAAATTTAAAATAAAGGGAATAGTGCAATGCTCTCAGTATGGATTTTTTTTGGTATCATGATCATTCCTGAAAGAAATTTATCTACACTTTCTACATTGCAATTCAGTGGGGGGGGGGGGGGGGGGGGAATAACCTAAAATCAGATGAAATTTATAGACTCACTTATTTTGTGACTTTTCTAAAATAAGGTTTTACAAAACGAAGTACATTTACATACGGTACATGTACATGTGTGTATGTTGCAGATAGAAGTTTATGGACATGAGTCTATTCATAAATCAGTTGATTTATGCCCCCTTTGTGATGTATAATGAGGTTGACTGAGTACATAAACTAAAGAAACAAATAATACATTGATTATTATGTTTTAACTTCCTCTTAATGTGGGGGGAGGGGGGGGGGACCAATCCTTGTCTCAATTGATTAAAGCCTAGCCTGCACAGGGAGGTTGAATCATTGTTAGAGGGCATGCGGCTGAGGAATTTTGTATTTCTGGGAAAAGGGGTTTTAGTTGTGCTCTCTCCGCAGTGACTCAGCTGTCATTATTAACCACATGGGCATGTACAGTGTATCCTCTGATGAGCCAGTCATTAAATCAATCTGAATTTCATATTTCACAATTAACCAGATATAGAGATCTGATGGGTAAATTATTTTTGGTGTGGCAGGAGAAATCATAAGAGAGTACACTAAAGATGTGATGATGTCATAGATGGGCAATTCCACGGTAACGGAAGGACACTCAGACAAGATTTTTGAACTTCAGGTTCATACTAAAAGAAATGTTTTATTAGTATGTATTAAACTATGGGGAACAAAATGTGTTTCAGTCAAGTGGAAAGCTTCATCAACTTCACAAAGTTTGGATAAACACTAATTAACTGGAAAAACCATGTCCATTTTTATGTCCTTCCGTTACCGAGATAATTAATATGCACATTCTTAAACTACTTAACTATAATGACAATTTTTTGGGGGAGAATTAAAGGCACTTATATAGGTATTATATCTGTACTGTTTCACATCTTATACTAATAAAACAGTTCTTTTAGTATGAACCTGAAGTTCAAAAATCTTGTCTGAGTGTCCTTCCGTTACCGTGGAATTGCCCAGATGTATTTGACATTATGTTTTAGGCATCATAGTCAAATCTGCTTTTCATCTCTGTGACATACACTGTACATAAATTTATAATCCATTCCATGATAAAAATATTTTCACTATTTTGGTTATAAAAATTAATAAGTGATTGATTTGAAATAGTATTATTTACAAGTGCATGTGCATCTTTTACTTATTCATGTACATGGTATGCATATACATTGTATTGTCTGTTCTAATGCCAGGTTTCTTGTGAATGTTAACTACCTTTAAATTGTTTATCGGTAGATAAATATGTACACTCTAAAAAATAGGGGAGGGGGAGGGCTCCATCATATGTTTCCCAATACAAATCGTAAAATACATTTATAGATCTATAGTTGTATGAAGCTTTATGAATGATATTGCAATATTCATGTTTTTTAGGAATATTTTAAGAGGGATAAATATTTTCTCTTGCTTTTGCCGTTCATACCACTTAAAATGAATTTTCCCTCTTTGTCCCCAAAACAACAGGTTAACTCGTACCTTTAAGCTGTTAACAATAACACATGAATTTCCTGTATCAGGCATACCTTATCATACTAATGCACATAGCATGCTTTTATTGACTTTTCAGAGGCCATACTTCGAACTTGTGGTTTCAATTTACACAAGATGATTTGTTTACATTCTGCGCTTATGAAATGTTTGTAAAACTGTGTGTGAATGCAGACCTAGAAATCAGGGTTTCTCAAACAGAAAGTGATAAGCGTAGCACTTACTGATTAATTTGCTTGATATCGTCAGTATTCTGGGCATCTTGCATTTCCAATTGCTTCTTGCTTATACATGACTCTAAATTATGTATTGTTATTTTTGAGGTCATTTATGGGACATGAATGATGACAAATGATATGAAGAATGTGGTCATATTAACATTTTATACATTGTACATGTACACAGTTACAGTATATCCTTGCCTTTGAAGGCTGCCTCGCTATTTTTCTGAATGCGTTAAAAATAACTCAAATTTTAAGGTTATGTTTAATACATGTCCAAAATATAATATTTCTCTCAAAACGCATATTTATATAGTTTCATATCTTTTTTTGGTTAGTAAAGAGCTGCATATTTATTGCAACAAAAATTAAATTGTCTCTGTATGTGCTTGAATTTACAAATCAACCTTTTTCACTTTGTGGTTGAATTGTTAAACAATACTATTTTCACAAATGTTGTATACCTTTGCAAGCCAGAATCCGATGACCGGGGTAATAATGTAAATCGTTTAGATACTCGGAAATTGCCAATGTATTAAGCGCTATATAAGCAAAAATATCATTATTATTATTTGATCACTTTGTTGGTGTGTTACTTTTGTCTTCTGACAAAACAATAGATTACCACATTTCATTTGATTAGAAAAGAGATGAAAGATAAATCTGTTTTGTGACAACCTACTACTTGTGTGTGCGGAGTGTTCTCATTCTTATCGTACATGTATCTTGACTTTCTACATCCGCAGTACATAAGAAACCTTTACAAGAGGACGAAATAGCGGCAGTGTGTGAGGGCGCTCTACAGGGTCTAGAATACCTTCACAACTACGAGACGATACACAGAGACATCAAAGCTGCCAACATTCTACTCACAGAGCATGGGACTGTTAAATTAGGTGAGTAAAGCCTCGTTCAGATATAACGCTGTAACCCGTAGCTTTAAATACTAAATATGATGACGTAAGTGTAATAAGCATCACATTTCTATATCTTATAACACAGAGCTGGGTGAATATGAATGGGACCTTTGTTATACGCAGTTGCCATTCACGTTTAGCGCTGCTTATCTGAACAAGCCCTAAAGGGTCGTTCACATGTGCTGCAGTAAACCATGGTTAGTTTTGGGGTACTACATGAATAGCAAGTGGGGATGAACAAAGGAAATAATGCATACTCACTTACCTATGTGTTTAAAGATACAAACATGTGCAGTGTATACTACGCTTATGTTATATATAAAAAAAATTACCATGTTTTACTGTATTGTATGTAATTTTGGTACTTTGAAAGCTAATGTGTGCATGAAATCAGTGCAAGTTGTTCAGATCCACAAAAGTTTTATTCTGTGGAAAATTGGACTCACAACTGACGTGACACTGAATCCACCAAATTTTTTCCCCCAAAAGGCTATTGGTCACAATCTAATAAAACGCCATTTTGCTTCTAAAATATCATGTGTCATTGATCTCATCATAGAATCCTTTATTATAACTAATTTTTTTTATCTGTCTTTTGGTGTTTGTTGATTTCCTCTCAGTTATGTTCATTTCATTTTTGTTTGATATCTGCCTTTCACTTTTGTTTGTTTTATGTACTGTACATGTATTAATGTCAAATAATCTTCTATTGAAAATAGAAATTCAATTATTTTAATTTCTGTTATTTTTTCCCTTCCAGGTGACTTTGGTTCAGCTTCATTAGTAAATCCAGCCAACTCATTCGTAGGAACTCCATTTTGGTGAGTATCATCTGCATTTTCCCAAAGATACAGCCTTCTTTTTTTTTTCTTTTTTTCAAGAGAAACATTTTAGCTCCCATACAGTGATTCCTCTTTTATTTAATTTCCATGAAATAATTGAACATGTATACAAAAAAACAAAGAAATTGTAATATGTAATAGACCTTAATAAAGTGCTTGATTGTATCAACTGTAATAACAAACGACATTGTGCTAGCTAAAATTTGGATGAAATTTTTGGGTACTCTTACTCTTTAGAACATGAGAAGTGATATCAGATTAAGCACTAGAGGAATAGAAAAATAAAATCCTACGTAACTTTCAGTAATAATAACAATGATTATAATTCTGGACTTGAATGGCGCACAAATTTTTCTGAAAGAGGCATCATTGGTGCACAGTTAATCTCAAGTCAAAGCTGAGTCGTGCAGACATACAGGTACATTTCCCCATCACATAATAACAATAACAATTATAATTTTTTTGTTCTTCCAACAGGATGGCTCCTGAAGTAATACTTGCCATGGATGAGGGGCAGTATGATGGCAAGGTGGATGTTTGGTCACTAGGAATCACATGTATCGAATTAGGTCAGTCACCTCCATCTTCTTTTATTTTACAACCTTAACTTTTAGTTTGTCAGTTATTTGGTAAAGTAGTCAAAGATAAATTTGATGCAAAAATTAGGATATTTTAAAATTTCTTTTCATCTTTATTGCACAGCATACGGATATATGGTAATAGTGATGAAAATGAGATATAAGTCATGAAATCAAGTTTAAATTTTTTTATTTTTTTAGATTTGATACATTTTTGTTAATTTATAATTATAGGTATAACTTAAAACATCATGATGTATTTTGTACAGTTATATAAATTTTTTAATCAGTTAATGTGTACAAATTACCCCATAAAGAAGGAATCAATTATTAAGTGAATAAATAATGATGATATTAATGATCATTATGTACAGTTTTGTTTTGAGAAATAGACCTCTATTTCGGTAGATTAAAAACGAAACAAAAGTTATAGATGTCTTCTGAATCTGTGGCTTATCAGACAATTGTGTTATTAAAAAATTGTACTGGATTCTTTGTTTTGATGATAATTTTATATGTTGTTTTCTCATAATGTTTTCATTGATCTTTCTCATCATTACTAAATAACATGACAGCTGAAAGAAAACCACCGTTATTTAACATGAATGCCATGAGTGCCCTGTATCACATCGCCCAGAACGACCCTCCATCGTTATCAACGTCTGGCTGGAACCAGTGCTTCCATGACTTCATCAAGGCTTGCCTGGCCAAGGAGCCCGACAGCCGCCCCAGTGCAAGACACTTATTACAGGTACGTTTGTTTGCAATGTCAGCCAGTTATCTATATCTGTATCCTTATGGTTTGGTCAGCAATATGTCCTCTTCAGACACATTTTTAGCTTTAAATGTTTCCAGGGATGGGCTATTAACAGTTGAAGAGGGAAGGTTGTTCCAGTCCCTGACAGTATTTACAAAGAAGGAGTCCTGGAATACCCTGCCCCTTTGCCTGATCTGGAGCAAACTTCATAAATAGTCCATGCACTTGGGCAGATAAGAGTAATTTGTACCAAATTGTAAACCATCACTGTTACACAGGGGGAAGTATTCCTTCCAAGAGGGAAAACAAAATGTGTTCATAAAGCATCTTTATCACTTTGGCATCAATTATTATAAAAATTCAGAAAGTTGGGCTTCTCCATGTTTTATTTCCCTAAAAATTGTAATGCTTGTTGTAATGATTGGCTATAAAGGAGAATGAAACTTGATAAAATATCTGATAATCTTATTCAAAATTAGATTATCAGCTAATGTTTGTTGGGTTTCACTTTCCTTTGAATAGAACCCACCCATCAAATACAGTCAAACCTGCTTTAATGACCCCCTGTCCACAAAGACCACATTTTTTGTTTCCCTTGGGTGGTTTTTCATTGAAATATGTATTAAAGGAACCTGTCTACAAAGGCCACCTTTCTTTTCGCCCTTGGGTTGTCTTTATAGACAGGTTTTACTGTATCATATTATCATTCCCCCATTTCTTTCTGTAGCTTGAATTTGTAACGAGGGACAGGCCGAACAACACACTGATTGACCTGATAGAGAAGACCAGGAAGGTGGTACGAGGGATGGATAACAAGAACGTTGGTAGGATAGCCCAGCTCTTCAAAGGTAACTCCAACAGACCAAACGATGACCAGGAGGCTAGCACAGATGATGTAAGCAGACACACCCACCCATCCTACCTATTTCTCTCAATACTGTTTCACAAAGATCCTAAGTTGAACCTATTTCTAAGTTGAACTTAACAGTTATGGAAAGCCTTTTGCATCTTTGAAAATATTTTGTAAAAGTTTTTTAAAATGCATAAAATGTTGATTCAAATCATTCATATTTTCTATTATCAAGGAGATTTCATGTTCTTGATGTGGAATTTTTGAAAAATCTAAAATATTTGAATTTTTGCTTTCGAATATATTTAATTTCAAGGCTACAAATGGCTCTCCATAATGTTTAAGTCCAACTTAGAATCTTTGTGAAACACCCCCTGTAATACTAGAGAATTTTGTCACATGAAATTTTCATGATTTGTAATTGACAACAAATTTCACAGCAAGAAACTCTTTCGTGAATTGCGAAAAAATCAGGTTATATCAGTTACGATTCATTCATTATGTGGAATATAAATCAGGAATCAGAATTAATTGAGCATTTCAAAAATGTGTCATGCATGTGGATGTTTCTAGTTTTTATCTATGAATCTTCTTAATGATCCAAGTCGTAGTATGATAGGGCAAATATGATGTTTTTTGCCCCGTAAGGTCCCATACATTATCCTTATCAAGATACTTTGATGAAATTTCCTTTAAAAAAACAAATGACAAAGGGGAATCTGGTTGGATTAAAAGAAGCCAATGGAAGGAATTTGCTCCATGCCTTCTTATATACACAAAGACAACTTTAAGTTGGACTTAACTATGGCAGGCCGTTCACGCCACTAGTTGCTCTCACCATTGGTCTCTCAATTATGATCTTTAGATAACATTTTTTCCTACAATAATGAACTATCAAAAAATGTAAATCCTGTAGATTTGTGACCACGATTGGTACGTCCCTCGGGAAACTGATGCCAGTAAATGATGAGAGAAAATAGTGGCATGAATGGCCTGCCACAGTTAATTCCGACTTAAAGTCGATCTTAGTCTTTGTGAAACACTCCCCTCCAATATAACAAATTCATAACTCATCATAGCAATAAATAGATGGGACATCCTTTGTCCAGGGGGTAGTTTTTCAGGGGGTAGGTGTTCTAGAATGTTATACTTATCTGTAAAGCGCTTTAGAGGGCCTGCGGTCCTGAAAAGCACTATATAAGAACGAGCTATTATTATTATTATTATTATTATTCAATGACTCGTGACATCTCTATCCATGCAGCAGCCGTCCGGGGATTCGTTTGACCCCAGCGAGCCCACCGACAGCATGAGCAGCATCAACGACCGCAGCGAGAACAGCAGTGAGTCGGGAAGCGTCAACAGTATTCAACCTCCCAGCGACGGCAGTGCTGAAAACTCACAGATGCGCAATGAGAGGGTGAGAACAAGAGAGAGAAAATGCCGGTTTACGTTGACGATAAATCTTTATTTTTGTAGTCGCATCATGTTGAGGTATTCCAAGGTTATTGGGGAAGTCTGTCGATTGTGCTAAGCTGAAAGGCCTGGGAAAATGTTCCTTGAGGGATGTTTTAATGAAAGAAAGTGCACTTTGTGGTAATAAATTGGTCTCATAATGAAACCATAAAGAACAAAAAACAAAACAATTTTGTTCCTACAAATCAAAGTCATTTTGATCAAAGGTGCATATTTATCCTAAGGGAACACCTTTGGGAAATTCTTAGGGTGTAAATGAATCGCCTTGATAAAATTGTAGGTGCAAATTTCAGGAACGACGGAATGCATTTGAATGCTTTCGTGTTAATAGAGTTGCATAACACGGCATGATTTTGGCCAAAAGATGGTTTGATAATCTTGGAATGCCTCTCGATCAGTCAGATCCCATTTCTTGTATTATTTTAATACAAATCAACATTTCGAAGGCACAGAATGCTTGTTCTGATGGAAAGCTTTATTCATCATTTTCTTCTTGTGGACTAAATTTTTTCTTTCAGCCATGTATGAATTAACATCCCTTACATTCAAACCTCCGGAATGCCCCCCCCCCCCCTCTCCTGTTCTTTTCTCATTTTCATGTCATGCCCCTATTCCTGTTTCTCATTTGTTCATTATGTGACAGACTGTCATGCATGCCATATGATTTGTGACTTCAACCCTTTCCTTATTCCTTAACAAAATTGAGGAGAAATACTTTACAGACTCTGCCTTTCTTTCCTTTTACAACAATATTTTGAATAAATGGTATTGTATTGGCAGTGAGATCTGCAGTGAAATGAAAGCTGTTATCTTTAAAGAATAGTCAAATTGTGAAAAAAGCTGCTTGAGTTTTCTTGTATTTATGCCACCAACTTCGTCTATCGTGTAGAAAAGGATGTTGTTACAGAGAAAACAGACAAAGCTCGCTTAACCTAGTGTGTCACTTTGCAAAACATTCTGGAATATTATGTTTTTGTGGTGTGCAACGCATGTTGGCTAGGATTGCAGTGGCTCCCTCTCTGTTGATTGATTGAAAGTTTTTGATTTTTAGCATTGAACAAATTTTTAGAGCATGTCAGAACGTGGCTAATTTTTGATATCAGCTTGCCTGAAACTTTACCATTCGTGTTTTCTAAGCAGATTTAAACGTATGCTTAACAGTCCTGTTTAAGGGTCCCTCCACACATGGCTACATGCAATACTGTTTAACACTTACCATTCATTCCACATTTGTTTTAAAACTTAACTCTTCATTGTCATTCCTATTATTATTTACAACATGCTCCTTTCAGCAAGTCTTCATTTTATCCTTCATACCCAGTCTGATTTGGTCATCAAAATAAGTTAATGTGATTTTTTTTCCTCCAATCTGTTCATGACATAAAATTCTAATATATACTTAATCATTCATGTCTTTTTTTTTTTTTGCTCTCAGATATTGAATTTCAGAAGCGTTAATGTTTCAAGCGAATCTGTTGCAAATTATTTTGTTATCAAAATGTAATACTTTAATGGAACAAAATCAATTTTAATTACACAATACTCCTTTATCAAACAGTTATAGAAGGGATTTATTGGACACACGTACAAAGTATATAAAAGTAAAGTAACTGTTTAGAATATCTTTTAAAATTTAAAGTTATATAGAGTATTATGATAGTTGTTTATAAGCCGCAACAATGTGCTAGCGTAAGAAAGGCTATTTTCTCAACTCTAATTGCCTTTTAATGTATTAGATTACTTGATATTTGTAATTACAGATCTTTTGTTGCATACTAACCAAACTCCTCTTTAAGAAGCTCTGTGAAGTAACATCTCTTCTTGCTTGTCACCATTTGCTCTCTTCCTCCTCCTCCTCCTCCTTTGTCCTTGTCTTTTTGTGTCATTGCCACACGATACCATCAAACTTGCCCATACCACCGACCTTCAAAAACCACACCTTCAATATTGCAATACCCCACCCCCCACTCTTGACATCTTTGTGTGGCACATTGAACCCGACCACCCAGAGGGTAAGGCATCCCTCGGTACCGGAGGGCAGGGAGGCGCTGGCCATGGGCGTGTCCCCGTGCCCCTCCCTGGACAGCATGGTCTCCATCTCGTCCTTCTGCTCGTCTCTGGGTTCCATCTCCTACGCCGAACGCGAGGCCTTCCTCGCCGCTTCGGGTTCGGTCCGGCTACGGGTGCGGGAGAAGCGTAAGGTACAGACCTTGTCCATCTTGGATCCTTTGTCTTGGTGTTCGGTATGTTGGCTATCCTCCCCTCCTAAAAAAAGAACAACCAAAGGAAAACAAAATGAATGAAAAATGCTCACACACACCAATTTATTTTGAAATGGAAAAAAGATATCTTAGCCGCATCACTGGCAATTTGGATGGCCCCTTCGTGGTTCCATGGCAATTGTGATTTTGTTGTTTAGTTCTCAAGTTTGATATGCGTTTCTCAATGCTGCATGAAGTCTTTTGCATGAGCAGTACTTATGATCGTGCTAGTTAGTGTCTTAGCAGAGAAGCAACAAACCAAATAAAATGCACAGCACGTAATGTTTTTAGAAATTGATATCTCCCACAAATAAGACAGATCTGCAGAAATAGAATTTGGTTGAACAACACACATGTGGGAACATGAATTTCTTTTGAAACTGTGTTAAACTTGGGGTCAACTAGTGATGTAGAATTGGTTAGGTATCACAGTTACTGTAAGTTAGCTTTAAAAAAACTCTTAATGCACAATCTATTATTTTGTTGTAGTTGAAGTTTGTTTTATTCAAATCCAGCAAGGACCATAATCATTAAGAATGAGAAAACAATGCTAGTTTGTAATCTTTAAGAAAATGTTAGATTATCAATATTTATTTGAATTGGGCTGTAGTATATAAAAAGCCAGTCAGACATGGTATAGAAATAAAGTCATATTTTATAGGGTCACTTTGAAGTTAACCCATTGCTAACAGGAACTTGGTGGCTCTTGTATTAAGTTTAAGGGAATGAGAGAATTCAGTATTCAATCAATTGGCAGAATTTTCCTTGAGTAGCACTGTACTCTTTCCAGAGTTAATAAGGGTTAAAGTATCGTCAGACCATGTCTACTTTGTTTACTTCAGTCATTTTGAAAGAAATTTGTTTAGTTGATATTTTGTTTGCTGTGAACCTTTCTCGGATTCAGATACTTAAAAGTGGGCACAAGAGAAATAGGAAATGGCGCTTATTGTTTTTGGTTTCTCTAAGTAACATTGACTATAGCTTGGCATGCTGCATTTGTATGCTGAGCCGATTGAACGAGAAAAAAATCCCAAAGAATTATTCAAATGATTTTTGTTAAAGAGCATTTTATTTTGCATTGCTCCCAGTTTGATTTGTGAGACAACCAGAAGAGAATGCAATGCATGACGTAGATTTGTTTGTCAAGGTTAGAAAGTCAGAACGCCTCATGATTGTTGTCTTACGTTTGGAAGATCATCGTCTTTGCTGCATGAAGAGCCTAAATGTTCCCTGGCAGTGGATGGATGAGTGTTATTGTTATTATAGATGTGTAAAAGGGATGCATTTTTGGCTTTGTTGTTTTATTGCAAGGAGTGTTTAAAATATAACACCTATTGAGACATTTTTGTGTACTTGTACAAGCCACTGCTCATTCTGTTATGTCGCTGCAGTGTTTCAAAGCTGTTGTCGTATTATTTGAACCTATTGCCAGACTTGATGTTTTTGTCTGGAACCTTCATTCCAATGCTCATTAAGATGTCTTGAATGTCATTGCAATGCTGCAAGGCTTTGATTTCATACTTAGAACTTCTCATTAGCTCCCAGATAAAAAATCTTTTTCAAACCTGTGAAATTAATGTGATCACTCTGACATTTCATTTTTTCTATTTTTTAAACTATCATTATTTCATGCTTTAAAAAATTCCTGTCTTCTAATTTAGATATTATCACTGCATTGTTCAAATGCTTCTGATTTTGTTATTGGGTACTATCTACATGTACTTAATTATTCTTTCATGATCACTACATTAGTTCACTGCTTTACATTTTATTTCATGAATATGACCAGCTTGTGGTTAAATTGTTCTCATTCTGTTCCTTATCTTTGCATTGGTTTCATTTATAACCTCATTTTTCTGGAACCTTTGGTTTCAACATCTTTCAACATCTTAATTTTGAGATATTTTTTGTATTTCCATTCTTCAATTCTTCGTTTTTGATGTTTTAAAGAAGATCCGCTGGCTTTCTTTTATTTGTCAAACTCCCTCTTGATATTATGATATTGATGTTGCACTATTACAATGCAGCATAGCAAAATCATGGTATATCATGTTGTTCGCTACATTATATTATTTTCTCTTCTGTTAACATATCTTTATTTTATCTCACAGTACTAAACCAAGTAAAAGTACATGCACATTTTTGCCATCTATAGTGATATATATATACCTGCTTCAATGCTCAAAGTATTTACGTTTCACACACCATGTAATTTTAACGCTAACACATAACCCTCTGCCTTTATTCTTCCCCCCTCACAGCTAGCCATCGTTGTCAGAGCAATTTTCACCAATGCATTCTGCTGTATTTGTATTGTTTTATATTCTTTTCATATCTTGCCTGCTAGACATGTATCAGGCTGTATTATGTCCAACGCATTGTAATTGTTCATGTCATTATGCACCTGTAAATCTTCAATGTATTAAACTATCTACAGTAAGGAAGGTTGTACAGCACTTGTTTCTGCAACTATCGCTCTGTGTCAATTTCCCACACCAACCAAATTCTTAACTTCAACGCTGGACCCGGCACAATTTCTCCCCCTAACCCCTTCCCTTAACCTAATGTAAAACCCAATTTTAACCCTAATCCCTATACTTTTTGTGAAATAAAGCCTGGAGCAATTGTCGAAGAAGCAAATGTCAGGACACCAGTTGGAATGTAACATGTAGCACAGATCTAGAAGTACACTGAATGGATCTTTTTCTAGTGATAACACCCCCCTTCCCTCCTCTCTCTTTCTATAAATGCTCCCTCCATCAGGTCCAGTTGATAAAGTAAACTCAGGGTACCTAATTAGTTGAGACCTGTGAAACTATCTTCTCTTATTTCTCCATTGGCTATTAAAACTTGGAACAAAGTGCAATGCAAGGGAATGATCTGTGCATAAGTAGATTAGAAAACCCTCAAGCATCATGCTTTTATCTGTGCTGTTAAAGCAGTGTTGGTCATGGTTTTGAATTTGGTGAGAAGAACTTCCCCAGTGCCTCTAGGTACAGTCTAATGCCATATGACTTAGAAAAGGCATTATGCATGTGTTGAGATCCTCTTCAAGCCCTTTACACCACGATATGGTTCCAACGGTGATGCATGAGTTGGCTTCAAGTTCAAGCGTATCTTTCTTTGTGTTACTTGTAGTTGCCGAGTGACAGCTTTAACTTCAGTGCGAGCTTGACGTCTGAGACGACACCGGAGAACCCGTTCACGAGGGACGACAGCTATCGTGAGAACTTCAAGACCATCAGGCCCACATCGGTCGTCACCAGACAGATGAAGGAACATGAGAACGAACAGAGGCAACAATTTTCAGGTATGAAATCTTGTATTCTTGGTGTAACAATCATAGTGTATTATTCATATAGATGAGTGTTTTATATGTGAATCAGATAATGCCTGGTGATTGTATTTATGTAACAGTAATATCAGTCACTAAGAGAGTTTACTCTTTTGTTCTTGAAAAAAGTTAGAAATATAATTACTGAATGCAATGATAATGACAAATGTGAAGAGCTAGGAAATTGCAACTACTTTGGAGGCTGAAAACATTCCTGTAATCCTGATCTAAATGTAGTATGGTTATTTTTCTGAATTTATATTTTAATCCTGATCCTGATGCAATTCAAAAAGGAAAATTGAAGTGGAAAGGTGATATACAATGTGTGATCAGGATTTAGAATTACATAGATATCCTTTGGATTTAAAGTCATAGTACAACATGTATAATATTTTATGGCAAGCACAATTCATTATCTTAGCATTATGTGAAAACAGTTTGTCCCTATTAGATGATAATCCCTCTATCCTTGCTCAAATCTTTTGAGCCTGACTGTAAATACAGGAGATAATGATGATAATGATTCCATTGCCCATCTCGTTGCCTAGGTTACAAGAGGATGAGGAGGCAGCATCAGAAACAGATCCAGCAGCTGGAGACGAAGCTCAAACAAGAGATGGATGAACTGAGAGATAAACTAGATAAAGAATTCAACCAGTGTGTGCAAGCTAATGTCAAAGAACTTGATAAACTCTTAGGAAGGCATACAACAGATCTGGAGAAAAAGGTATGGAATTTAGCTTTCTCTTGTATATAAGATCTTGCTCTGTGCATGGTTACTGGTTGATTGGGGGTACTGAATTGAGGAATCAACTTGATAAAGAAATCAACTGGGGCCCATTTTACAAAACTTGTCATCAGTGACAAATGACAGTCTTTGTTATAAGCTACTGAAATCCTTGCTTCTGATTGGTTATCAGCAGATTTGTCACTGATTTTTGTCATTTGTCATTGAAAAAAAGGCTTTGTGAAACGGGTTCCTGGTGTTGTCATGCTAACATCAAAGAACTAAACAAGCTCGTAGTAAATCGTGCTACAGATCTCAAGAAAAAAGTTAATATGTTTTTATTGGTTAATTGAGATAGATGAGCAGAGAAGTAAAATGGATAGAGAATTAGACCATGGAGATTTTTTGTGCTAAGCTGTGCGCTATATAAGGCATTCATCAAGTTCCTGGAATGTTTTGGATTCTTCTGTCTGCAGTATAGGTATACTCTGTGTGATTCATGTTTAACTCACTATGCTGGAATCCCAACATTTTGTTGAGGATCTACTTCATATTATTTATTGAGGAATATAATTCAGAAGAATAAAGAAGAACAAGTCGTTTAGGTTAAAGATCCAATGATATGCCACATAGAATACTGTACATGTGAAATGTTAAAGCATGTCATCATAGAAATACAAGTGTTCATATTGGTATTGGTAAACGCAATGTTCAGTAGGACATCGAAGGAAACTTCATAATCTGATTAAAAAATAAAAAGATGACTAGCATACTTACCTTTTCCAACTTTCCAGTATTGGAAAAGAAAGTGAACATTCTGATTTAGATGTGCTGGTGAACTTTAATTGTAAATTCATAAAATGCAGTAGAAATTGGGTCAGCTTTCAATATTTTTTTCTTGTATTGGTTGTTGTCTTGCAGGAGAAAGCAGCTGCCACTGAGGAGAAGAAACTCCTGAAGACAATCACATCCCAGAACGAATCTGAACTGAAAGCCTTCCAGCTCAAACAGAAGAAAGACTACAAACATAACAAGGAACAAATGAGAAAAGTAAGATCTTTCAAATCATTTGAAGTAATTGTGAATTCTGTAAAACAGTGCGCATTCGAGAAGCATACTCGCTAGAGTTCCCAATGTGCATTGTGTTACAATTCGCCTATGAGACTTGAAAGGTTACCAATTAAAGGCATTGTTTAACAATGTTTCCAGTTGTACAAATCTGAGATGCATGGCCCTACGTGTTATCAGTGTGTGTGATATGGTGTAATATTGAAGCCCTAAAAAAAATTACACTTCAAAATGATCATGAAGTGCCTCAAAAAAGTAAAAATCTTTGAGTACCCGGTTTTACCATACTCATTTTCCCCAATAGACATGCTGTTTGTTCAACTCTCTGTTACCTTCCAGGAATTGGATAGTACTCCAAAGAAGGAGGCACGCGTGGGACTCCATAAGGAATCTCTGCTTTTCTTTTGCTCCATAGAAATTTGAAATACTCCCAATGATCCATCAATCAATCACCTCTCTTCTTAACTTGCAGGAATTGGACAGTACTCCGAAGAAGGAGCACGAGGCCCGCATGCGGCTCCACAAGGAATCGCTCCACCAGGAGCAGCAGAGGGCAGAGAATGACCTGCAGGAAAGGCAGAACCAGAAGCTGGACAAGGAGATGAGGAAACTCAAGGGCAAACTCCTGCTCAGCAAGCAGACAATCGAACAAGACCAGCTCAGAGAGGTGAAATTAGAAATACATTGTGTAATTGCATATTGAGACAGACTTGGATTTTTTGTGTCTTTTAACTTTTGTCTAGTGACTGCCCTTTACACGTCACTAGGGCGCTTTCACAAACAAGACGGAAGGCAAAGACGACGGTAACGCGAGCAAAAAAACAATCTCTGTTGATTTTCATGACCGTACGCGGCCATGATAGCGTTCGTTCCCTAAACACGACGGAAAAGCTGTATTGCTGTACTTCTCCCGTTGTATTTGCATCTGTCGTCTTTGCGAAAGCGCTCTATTATCCAAGAGACACAACCTGGTTTATTGTTGAAAACATAGAGCTGACTACTAGACCAACTGAACTCTTTCTGTGCTGTGTAACAGAAAGTTCTAGAAGGAATGCCTCATTACAAGGTCCATGGCCGAAGTTCTCGGTGTTTGTCCACACTCCAGTGAAATAACTTGTGTTCTCACCAGGTTAACTCAAGCTCTGTAAAAAAAAAAAAGCATGTCTAGGTTGACGGAGCTGTCCATGAATCTGCTTACAAAAGATAATGTGTTATATTGTCTTTTACCAGAGCTTTGCAATGCTAAATTAAAGTGCAGTATTACTCAATGCTCTTGTGTACTATAACGAAAAACGAACTCAAGTTGCTTTTGGAAGTGTGGCTAGATTAAGGAGCATTAACTTAGCAATTGTCCAGGAAGCAAATTCCAGAATCACGACTGACTGGTTATTTTTTTATTTTGTGTGCGTACTTGCAGGAGCTTCACAGGCGGCAGGTTATGAAGGAGATGGAGCATGTGATGGCGCTGCGACACCACGAACAGATGCAGTCCATCGAGTACCGTCACACCAAGCAGATCCAGTCGCTACGCTCGGAGCAAATGGAGAGGCAGTTCAGCACAGAGCTGACCAACCAGGCTGAGTATAATAAGACGGCTCAGCAGGACCTACGCAAGAAACATTCGCTGGAAGCAAAACAACAACCCAAGGAACTCAAGGTCAGTAGTAACTCAACTCTGTGAACCAAATTTCCAAAAGTTTGTGGATTACAATATTTTGTAGTCCTTTTCTAGTGCCTAACCCAACACAACCTCAATGGCTTTTGTTACTTTTTGTCTTATAACAATAACATCACACTTTTTGTCTTGAATGTCGACAGAAACATTGCTTCTCTCAATACCTGGGACTGGTATGAATGGTCAGAATTTGCACAAATATTATTTTAATACCTCAATTTTTGTTCATTATCTCCAAATTGCCGACGTATCTGAGCAAGGGCTGACGGGATTACCTGATCTTCCTGGATCATAATATATTCAGTTGAGATCTGTGTGTGTGTATTGGGTTTTTACTGACGTGTTTCAATTAGATATGATTATTTACATATGGGGACCGACCTTAAATGCTACGGTCACAAAATTTCGTATGAATGTCCCTGTTTTTCCATTGTCTTCCCGATTTTCCATTGTCTGAAAATCGTTCGTACGGCCTTCGTAGCAGTTCGAAATGGCATTTGTGACCGAGGCTTAAACGTCACCATCCGAAAGACTTGACTCAGTTTCGAACCTGCATCCTTGGCTGAATCAGTTCGTAACTTCCACTTTTAGCTGGATCACAGACGCATGCCACAATGCCTAGTTTGAGATCTCTGTGAACTCAGTGCTAACTTTAAAGCCATTGCCAACCATACTCTGAATGTAGATGGCTAGTGAGGTGTTCAATCAATACTAGGGAGAAACAGACCAACCCTTAATCTGATAGCTGTGAAATTAATGCCACAGGTACATCAATGAAAGAAAATAAGACAATGTCGGTGCTTCAGATAAGCTTAAAGGTATTACAAAGTTTTGGGAAATTTTGAAAAATGGGTGGATAGTGATTCTTTACAATTTTAATATATTTGGATGCCCCTGTGGATGTATTGAAAACACCAGAAATGTTAGCCCCTAAAACACTTCTGCTTTCGAGAAAAATTGAATATAAAGATTTACCGGTGCTCCCGGTAAATTTTGATAAATTTCAAATAGCTCCTACGGCCGTACAATGGTAGCTGCGACCATGAAAATCTCAGAGTATGTACTTGTGGTATATAATTTCCGAACGAGAATAGCTAATCAGTCAATTTTAGTCAATAAGCATTGTTTTATAGCTTAATTAATATCTTGACCTTGAGAGGGAGCTATTCAACATAGAGGGTTTATTATTTACAATTTCATAACTTTAGAGTCGATTTCGACCGCGACAACGATGACTGAATATTGTAGGATCGTATATGCTTCCAATATGTTCATTTGAACCAAATTCATGACCCCATACCAAAACTTTGTATTACCTTTAAAGTCATTTCTCATCAAACTTCATTTTTTGTTCTACTCCAACAGGCCAAAGAGAAGAAGATCGAACGTCAGTACCGCGCGGTATGCAAGACCCAGATGCTTCAGTTCAAGGCCCTACAGCAGCAGGTCTTACAGACGATGCCTCGGGAGAAACATAAGCAGTTCATCAAGAAGATGAAAGAGGAACAGACGAGAAAGATGGCTATCCTTGGGGAGCAGTACCGACTGAGCATACAGGAAATTAATATATCCGTATCTGTGAGTCCATCTCTTGTTCAGAGTAGTCTAAATGCTTGTTCATATATCATATGCCATGGTAAACCGCCCCAATGACATAAAACCTCCATGTTTTGTTTTGTTTCACACATAAATGAATGGCAACTGCGTAAACAAAAGTGATATGTGTATTTACTGAGCTCTGTGTTATAAGGTACAGAAATGTGAAGCGTTATACACTTTACGTCATTAAAGGTAAAGACCAGTATTGGAAACGCCCCAATTTCAAAAAATGAAATGGAAGCTCTCATTACCAATCATGTGAAAGAATATGTTTTGACTAATACATGATGATAAAAAATTTGCCGGGAAACCGCCTACTAATTCATATATTTGGTAAATTTGTTTCTCTCATGGTCTGTGAGAGATATAGGGTAGTCCCATATACATCTTTCTGTGTATAGTGCTTGTAACTTTACAAAGAATGGGCCAAATTTCTTATCATTTTGATGATTCCAGAACCTTGCAGATGCTAGATGCTAGATGATCAACCTTTTCTGATCGATTCCACAACGTTTCTTTCACAATGCAATCGCATGACCATAACTGGTCTTTACCTTTAAAACAAATCGCCACGGTTTATGACCAAACCATCCGATAGGTTTAGTGAAGGGCTTTGGATTATCAGAATGCATATCCTGTCTGTTGAAAATTTGACTCTTTAGAATAGAGTAATCACACTAATTCAAGCAATTGTTGTCCATTCAACAATTTCATCGCACCCTGCAAAATTTCCTTTTTTTATATAAGAATCACATGTGATGTTAATTCAATATTGCCAAGGGGTTTCATGTCAGGGCTTAGTGCCTTCAATGAATGGAATGGTTTTAATGATACACCTAAAAGTTTCATAAATTGTATTCACTTTCTACGTAGTTTCCTATAAGTGGTTGTTTCAGGGTTAAATCTAGGTCAATGTCTGCCCTATGGAGGAAATATGCAATGATTTAGTTATGTTTTTGACATTTCATTTTGATGAAAAGCCCCTTTAAACCGATTCTGAAATTATTTTTGTATATTTTTTTTCAGGTGAAGCTGGATAAGTCCCAGGAGCAAGAGTGCAATGTGCTACAGGACCGTCTCCGCCAGGAGATGGACCTGCTCCATGCCTACCAGAGCAAGACTCGGCTCCAGCAGGAGGCCCAGCATCATAAGGAGATCAAGGAGTTGGAGGAGCGCGTCTCCATCAGAAGGGCACGACTAGAGCTCAAGGTGAGCCAGCAGTAATTTCAATCCCTTCCTGAAATCGTGCATGGGTGTAATAATCTTTATACAAATCCGTCTGTATTGAAGTGAAAACATTGCAATTTATAAAACTTTCTGGGCAAAAAGGTCTAATATGGTATGTAATCCAGGTACAGATGATAGGTATCTTGAAGCCTCTTTCTCAAATGGCTTCGTAAACGGCCTCATTAAACTGTTGTGATGGCCTTGAAGGATTAAAGCCTAGATGTTTCTGTATTTTGTAACACACAGATACACTTTAGTACATTTAGGAGCCTTCGTTGCCCAGCTCCTTTTTACCACCCCACTTGCCATTTGTTTAAATGTCAAGAAGTGTGGGTTTTCTTTTGAGGCAGTTGACTGTACCATGTGAGAAAGACCCTTTATTCCATGTGCCCTGACCAGCACCACCATACAAATTCTATTGTCATTATTTCTCCCTCTAATCTCTCACCACCAGATTGAAGAAGACTCGGCCAAACTAGAGGGTGAGAAGACGGATCGGAAACGGAAGCTGTTTGACAGACACAAGAGAGAAACGGCCGAGTTCAACCGCGAGATGAGCAGCCATGGTCTAGAGCAGCTCTCTATCAATGACATCAAGCAACAGGTCTTTGGAGGGTCACGACCTCTATCCATGATAGAGACCAGCAACAACTCGTCACCGCGCAACGTCCGACGTGAGAACTCCTTCTCCTCTAGCTTCACATGATGAGGAGGGATGCCCCTCTTTTTTTATTTCTTATCCATTATTATTTTTGCCAATTTTTTTGTTGAGTTTGACTGCATATTTTTATTACTCTTGCATCGCTTCATCGAATAGTCACCTCCCCCCGCCCCATGCTCGTATCGAGGTGATGCGTTCGGCTGGCTCTGTACAGACGTACAACCCTTGTAGCTTGGGAAGAATGTGTGTGGTCCTTGGTGCCCTGTTCTCTCCTTTCCTTATGTACTAAATTTAATATTCATTCAGTGAAAGGTTTGAAAAGGACTTGAAATAGCGCATACTTAACAAGGTATTGGTGAGTGGAATAGCTGCATGTTTTTGATAAGCAGTAATTGTAACTAGTTAATAGTCTCATTAGTAATACCGTCATCATCAGTGTACCCCAGTTAGAAATAATCAAGTGAGAATTCAGTATAGCTGCATGGTGTGATTTAGATCAAATAAAGTCTGTTTGGATCAAGTTAACAAACTATGAAGTATCCACTCGTTTACTCTACTTTGTTCCTGGATTTCCTTTATCATTGACCTGAAAAGCACTGCAATTTAACCCTTTAGGTAGCAATGGATATCAAGGGAACTCAATCAAAATGGTTGAGAATTCAGTTCCGTTTTCAGGGGTTTACAAGACACAGATATGAAAACATGACTGCATTTTCAATGGAATTTTAAAGGTGTAATTTTTAAAAACAAAAACGCAACAATAATCCTGAATAGTTGATGCACATTTTATTGGAATCTTGAATGGTTTATGTAGCCGTAGAGGACATTTGGAAAGATATGGCTGATATCACTAACATGTTTTCATATTTTGGACTGATATCCATATATTGGATAACTTCTCAGGCCTACTGAATACTAGATGACTGAATTGTGTTTTGTGCATGCAGGTATGTAGTCCTATGGCAGAAGATATCATGTTAAACATGACGGTTCAAATTAAATACCAGATGCTAGGGGGTCCAAGGTTTATATGGCACCAAGTTTTTTGCAAATCCTGTGTTCAATCTTAACCCAAATAATTAAAGCTCTTTTGTAATTGTAAAAGAGTGTTTCCATTTGTGTTGAGAATGGTAGAATGCTAGTACATTCAAACCTGTCTATAGCGACCGCCAAAGGAAACACAGAAAGTGGTCCTTGTATACAGGAGGTCTTTGTAGACAGGTTCCTTTAGTTCATGGTTCAATGAGCAACTATTTTCAAGGGAAACAAAAAATGTGGTCTTGGTACACAGGTGGTCACTAAATCAGGTTTGACTGTATATGTATTACACTCCTGGAAGCTATTGCAAGAAACATCTTGATATGTGTAAGCATGGACCTTCTACTTGGTCTACGTTCATGAGCATCTCTCTTTCAAAACCTGTGAGGAAGGGAACAAGCTTTCCAATGGGATGCCAGTGAATGTAGAATTCTGGTGGTGTTTTTTTTTTATAACAGCCCAGAGAAAAAAAAATGTTTAGTAGAAGTTAACATAACACATACCACATTATGTGATGCAGATAATATGTGCGCCCTTTCTGCTTGTTAAATGTTAGGTACCCAAGAGTCTTTATTTTGAGCTACCACTTAAACTTGAATCATGTGAGCAAATTTGATGGTTTAAACTAAAAAACATTCATGTGCAAAAAGTTAACATTTTACAAATGTGGATTATTTCTCTGTAAAATGCAGAATAACGGTGGTAGCAGGTAGCAGTAGTTTCGTCTTGTGAGATCCCCATGCCTGAAGCATTGCAAATTAACCCATATAGAACATTATAGAAATATTCTGTAACTGTAGCTCCTGAAAATGGTTTTATGAGGTTGTATTACCCTCTAAAGTAGAACCATTTCAATAATAGTATTAGCTGTTGATAATTCATGTTCTAATTGTCACTGGTATTTTGTATGTTTACAATTCACCAGAGTTTGGATGTTGAATTCAGAAAGTTATAAACAAACCCTCATGTTTTACAGTTTCAATCAGAAACTAGAAGAATATATGAAACTTCCTGGAAATTCTAGTGACTTGTCTGTCATTATGTTAATTTTGTGTGAACAAACTACATTCATGTTCTCAATTACAATGCTATATTAAGACCCCTTATGTATTGTTTGGATAGTGAAAACATTTGTTAAAGATATAGATTTACCCTTCCTGTTCCATAGTATTAATATGAACAACAAACTTATGGATAGTTGGTGTACTGTGCAGACATTGTGCTTCAATTGCCCAGTTGTGAACATGTACAAAGATACCCCCTCTACCCAAACATGAGAAACCAGTATTTATTAAACTATGAGATTGTATTTTGATCATCATAAACTTTTTTTATAATTATTATTATTATTAGGTATTTGGCATCGCTTGTGCATGGTAGGCGAAAAGCGAACTGAATCACTGTAACACTCTGGTCTCTCCTCCCGGTATAACTGATTGGGGGTGTGCAGGTGAACCACTACACCGGGGTTTCCCCCTACTGTTATATGAATAGTGCAGTGGGTTCTTAACGTGCAAATGTGGTGACTCGCCTCTACACAGGCCTCCATTTAACGTCCTCTCCGAGGGATGGAGTGTTTTTCACTTAACATAGCCTGCGTCTATGAAACAAGGGAGGGGCACGTTAACGCACAACGCAGGCTTCAGTCATCCGCCTTGGTTGGATTTCACTTGCTGTGGAGATGATAGTAGTAGGTGATCATTATGCAAATGAAAGTAAACCTGGATTTTTAAACCGAAACTATACTCTTTGAAAGTCTTGTTCTGTCATCCACATACAAATACCTAGCAAAGCTGCTCTAAGCCAACGCATCCTAAAATATTCATGTCTCCTTGACTTTAATTTGTCAGACTTAAAAAAAACACTAAAAAACAGGCATTGTGATTAGTTTGTTTTTTTCTGTAGTAGATTAGTTGTTTTAATTTTTGTTTGCATCTATTTTGGTGCTGCCTTTTCTTTCCTCTTGATCAAGCCTGGTTCTCTGCTTGTAAAGAAGCGCTTCCATGATAATCATACTCCTTTGTACAGCACATATCATCTCTTCACATGTTGCTTGTCTACATGACGAAACTCTTGCGTATCATTGCTACCGTACAACAGAATAACCATAATAACAATAGTGTGTTCTAGTATAGCGCTCATGTTTGTCAGACTCGACACACTTGGCGCTCCACAATTATTACCCCTGCTTTAGCATGACTGCTATTTTGCGCTCTAGCATTTCAAGGGATTAAATTCCTGCGGGTCCCATTTACCTCACCTGGGTCGAGTGTGGTAAATGTAGACTAATGTCTTGCCAAAGGAAATTAGTGCTTGAATAAGTGACTCTAGTCGTGAACCATGTGATCCAGTCCAGTAGCGTATCCATGAGCTTGCTACATGCAGGGCAAGCATTCTATTACACCATGCCCCCCCCCCCCCTCCCCTGATCAGCTAGGGCGTGTACTTCAGTATCCCTAGAGACTAGGGTAGGGTAGGCCAACATAATAACCTAGATTTGACTTTGTGGACTATATCTGTATATATAGCATCACATGTATGACAACTGCAGCATTTTTTGAGACCTGCAGTGACTTGGGGGTAAGTGATTGTGATATTATGGGGGGTTATTTATGTTTTACTTGTGAATTACTGAAAAAAGAAAATACCTGCTACATGACAAAGTTTTTGACCCTTTTTTTTTTTTCTCCTTGTGATTTTTAGAAGTTGGTAATTTTTTTTTTTCATTCTATGCACAGTGAAATATAAGGTATGTACACAGTACTGCAGAAAAACATCTAAAACAAACGGATTGTTAAGCCATGCATGTTAAAATTAGTTCAGGAGACTATATTGTTAATGTCATTTTTCAATGAAATACATTTTCTGTTCTGAACGTATTGATCGACTGTAATATGACATGTATTTAGTGACATACATGCAAACCACGTCATTGAGAGAATGTTCATAGACATGAATTATGTTTTACTTGATATCCCTCCTTCACCGTATATTATGTAGAAATACAATCCTTTCCGGCCTCACTGTAACTTTCTCTCTTTAAATCAAAGTTGCTTTCATTGCACCATGGTTGGATGTTAAGTTTTGATTTTATTATTTATGAGCCACAATGTATTTTTCTTCTTCATACTGTGTGTCGTCATTTTTTATTTTTTATTTGAATACCCTGTAGCATCTTTACCATAGCGACTAGTTATAGATATTGTTACTATCGTGAACAGAGGGATTGTATTATACAGAAACCTAAGTTATCATCCCACATTGAAGATAACCATGTATTATGTGGACTTGAAATCAAGAGTATGCATCGCCAGGCTAAAAAAAACGTACTATCTTTACAATACATCTAAAATAGGCTATATCAATTGTATATGTCATGTCATTGTGTATTTGCATAGGTATGACATAATTATGTAGGTGGGAGGTCAATTTATAGGGTTATGTTGTATGTTTCAGAAGAAATAACTGAATAATATGTTTGTTAATTGAAATTGAATAAAAAAAGCCCAACAGAAATGTTGTTGCTATATATCTATTATCAAAATTCGCATGCATTCTTCTTTACTCTACTTGTTCTATGCTGTTTTAGAGGGAGAAACGAGAGAGAGAGGGAGAAATGAGAGAGAGAGAGAGAGAGAGAGAGAGAGGAAACTGAGAAAAAGAGAGAAGCATGAGAGAGATAGAGAGAGAAGGGGGGTTGTCAGATTTGGGGAAAGCAAGCAGAGAAGAAAGCGAGAGTGTTGAGTAAGAAGAAAATCAGGAAAAAAAGAAAGGAAAAGAGAGGAACAAAGTAAAGAGAAGGATGAAAGAATGATAATAATGAGAAGAAAGGGAGAATGAATGAGAGAGTGATGTGATGGACAGAGAGGGAGAGAGAGATAACCGGGCATGGTGGCTCAGTCGTAAGAGCGCCCGCCTTATGAACGGGAGGTCGTGGGTTCGAACCCCGGCCGAGTCATACCAAAGACTTATAACAGTGGTACCTTCTGCCTTCTAGCTAGGCGCTCAGCATATTAGATTGGAGAAGGGTAGTAATAACATATTATGTTATGCAGGGCCCGCTGGAAGAGCAGTTTCATAACTGAAGTGGCTACCCTGGGTAAATAAAACGTTATTATTATTATTATTATTATTATTATTATTATTATAAAGAGTAAGTGTGTGTGCGTGCGTGTGTGTGAGGTTTAGGGTGATCTTCCAAGAGCAAGCATTTTGAATGTGTTGAATGGAAGCACAATAAAAAATATCTAAAACAAAAGCAATAGTAGCAGGAACAATTACTACATTGTACACGTACATCATCATTATTGTTGGTTTTACGGGATTGTTACATACAATATTACCATTGAATGTTCATGACGTCCATACCCTGATGTAGAATGACCACAGAAAATTGACATTAAAAATTCAAAAATGCATCATGTAACAAGGTTTTGCTCGTAGTATTATGTGACTGTTAAAATCATAATTCTTAGTTAGGAAATGAGAAACGGAAATTTCATTGCAAACGAAAATTTTTCTCTTATAATAATCAGGTTGTTTATAACTTGTTGCAATATACTTTCTACTTGTTGATGTTGATACTCTCCTAAGGCTACATCACACGATGCAGGTTGTCCCACGAGACCAACAACCCAAGAGTTAAGATAATGTCATGGTTTACTATATTGCTTGACCGGTATTGTCTCATAGGCTTTCATGCCGCTTTTTACATTTTTGTAGAGGGTTCTTGAGACCGAAAACATATGAGATCGACATTGTCGCTATGACTTTCTTTTGTTTTACGCCTCCCTTCCATCCTCTTTTCACCTTTCTTTTCTAATGTATTTCTATCTGTTTCTATTTCTGCTATACTTTCTTTCTATCCTCATCAATCTTTTCCTTCTTTTATTCTTACTTTCTCTTTCCACCAAAGAAATAATTATGACATCCTTTCCGTTAATTTCTGTTTTTTTCTCTCTCTCCTTTTCTTTCTGTCCTCTTTTCTTTTTACTCTCTTCTCTGTCTCTATTGATTGATGCATTTCTTTGAGTTTTTCCTTTCTCTTCTTTTCTATTGTTTTGTGTTTTTTAAATGTATTTCTTTGTTTGTCGGTCTCGTGGGCTGTCTGTCTACTGGCATGACCCGTCACCTAAAAACACGGGTAAACATTAAATACTCCCGCGATTAATACTCAATAGAGGTCATTAAAATTGTAATCTAACACTAATATTCATAAACACATCCATCATCAAGATATGTCACAAGGTGAAGTGTACTTTAGGACTGCAAAAGGCGATAAAACAAGACAAAAAGTGACCTAACCCCTTTTCAATATTGGCTTAGGCAGTTACGGACAAATACGTGTGTGCTTTTCGTTATCACAATGTTTGCTTTTCTTTATATAATATATTTTATAGTGGTAATATTTCCCAGGAATTGATACAGAAATGATTGTATGCAAATGAAATGCATACATTGCTGCGAATTTCGACAGCTCTTGAGGGCTGAGTGAGGCATTATTTGATATTTTTGAACATGTGATTAGGCTTTCATATCAAATAATATAATCACCATTGACGGTCAAAGCACTTCCGAGCCTATATGTCGCAACTAAGTAGTTTACACACTTGACTTGAGATGTAAAGTCCGTGGGGTTCGAGCCCGATAAGGCCTTGAATGAAATACCAATCTTAACAGACTGCTCTTCGGAAAGAAAGCAGAAATAACATAACTTTTTGAAAGTTGCATTTACTATACGTTTGGGCACTTGATAGTTGCTGAATCGGTTATATCACTGTGACATACTGCCGGACAACTTTTCCATTGGTTGTAAAACACAAAATGACTAAAATTTCAATTTTTCAAAATGTGTAATTCGGGAGGGTCTATGATAATAAACTATTTGTAATAGCCGATGACTGGGGTAATAATATGATTGCAGGGCCCTCAGGGAGAACAGTATTAATACTGATGAGGCTACCCTGGGTAAAACAAGACATATTATTATTATTATTAGAAGTAGTGCCCTAACGGAGACGACACTAAGGAGAAAACCAGAAATGTGTTAATTTTTTTCTTGTATATCCGATTTCATACAAATGAACTCGTTACAAAGGCTGAAATGCCCATACAAGAAGGCATTTTAACCAACGTTGCTTCTCTCCATCCTGGTGAGCAAAATTAATGTAAATCGAGGAGGATGCGAGTATGCGAATATGGGTTTAGTCATGTTCTTTTTAAGGGCCCTGCAATCTTTAGATTTATATAACTTTTAAGCCTAACGGGAAGGATGATGCGACTCGGAAACTTAGCAGTTGCCTTGAAGACATTAGGTTCTGGTCTTCTAATTAATGGACTTTGCCATAATGAACGAAAATCTGAAATGATCCATATTACTTCCAAATTTAGAAACACTGATTCTTTCCCAGACTTGGTTACCAGAAATGGTTCACTGAAGGGTAATGAATACGTACAAGACCTAGGTGTAATTTTAATCGACAAAAATCTCACATTTCAGCAGCATGTTAAAAACGTCTGTAAATCGGCATCTTTTGGAATCTTTAAAATTGGGAAAATTAGGAAACTACTTGACCGGCCCACAACGCGTGCGCGCGTGAAAGTGTGTGTGTGTGCGTGTGTTTGCATGTGTGTGAGGTTTAGGGTGATCTTCCAAGCGCAAGCATTTTGAAAAAGCAATAGACGCAGGAACAATGTACTACATTGTACACGTACAGCATCATTATTGTTGTTTTTTACGGGAGTGTTACATACAATATTACCATTGAATGTTCATGACGTCCATACCCTGATGAAGGATGACCACAGAAAATTTATCATGCAACAAGGTTTTGCTCGTAGTATTATGTGACTATCTAAATCATAATTCTAAGCTAGGAAATTAAGAACTGGTAATTTTATTGCAAACGAAAAACTCTTGTTTAATAATCCCGACCCCCAACATAAAAAAAAAATCTTCTATGTGGGCATGCGTTAAACCATAATGCATGGCCCTACAGAGGAATTTTTCCTGTTGAGGGACTGGGGGAAAATGCAATGAATTATTGAAAATGTATTCAAGGGTGTCGATTTGTATCCTCGGTTGGGGGGGGGGGGGATGATAGGTGCCAAAATATTTTCGGCAATGGATCAAAGCAACCAAGAGGTAGAAGCGTGTGGCAGGTTGCACCCCATCCCTTCCAAGTTATTAACTTTTTGAAGTCGCCCTCAATAAAGATAACATTTAAGAGAATATGAGACCCATGTGGGTCCCACATGGGCTTGCTACCTGGGTTATTATCCTCCCAAGCATATACTAGGCAGGATTTTATGTTAGGGGGCGGTAGTGTGCACCTCCTAGGGGGTAGGTGCAGGGAGGGGAGCCCCCCCCTCCCGCGCGACGCGCGGAAGCTCTGAAGTTTCATTAAATTATTAAAGAAAGA